GTGACCGCCAAGACCAACAGTTGATTAAAAATTCTTAAAAAGGAAACAGTAAAACTCAATCTTACTTCTAGATTCTCTTTCATATATAATTCAGTGGCTTTCTCTTCCGATAATCCACAGCAACCATATTCCAGAGGAGTAAACACTGTTGTTGGAATGCTAAAATAATCACACTGGAAGATAAACAGATTACATACTTTCATTTTGTGATGTTTTTATTATTCAGTTAAAAAAAATCTATATTCCACGTATTTATAAAAGGAAAATAAGTGAGCCCAGTTCAGTATTAACTGATCCTGACAACATCAACAATGCCACAGAAGTTCTCAGTTACACCAAGGGAGGCGAGAGCCGAGCCCCTGACACCATACCCGGGCCCCTGCCCACGAGTGGGGAAGACCCTACTGGGGCCAGACCTTGACGTCTGCAAATCAGGAGGAAGAGGTGGCAGTGGGGCCGCCGAGCCGTCCCAAACACTCTCCCACGATGTTCTCCCGGTCCCCGTGGCTCTGGACTCTGCTCTCCTGGAACATCTCTGAGTCTGCTTGAATTGGTCCTTGGATTGTGCTACTGCCCTGGCAGCTGCACCTTGGCCCGTTCACAGTCTTTATGCCACTGAGAGGTGTTTAGGCAAGTAAGTGATTCTAAAGTGTTGGCCTGAGGGTCCCTGGCCATCGAGGGGAGATGCCACATTGCACCCTGGGAGCGAGGGTGAGTGTGGTCCTCTCCAGAGAGCTGCATTTCCTAGCCCTTGTCGGACTGAGCCAGAGAACAGAACTGCAGGAGCACCGCGCGCTCTGAGCCAGGCAGCCGCCCTCCGTCAGCTCATCCATCCACTTGTGCCAAAGCAAGCGGCTGCAGGGGGCGCTGCTGCCCAAGAGCCCTGAAGGCCGCTCTGACAACGGAGACCTGAACTCCCCGGCTGAACACAGCAGTCCCAGCTCATCAGCACAGGTGCCAAGACCCTCAGCGGATGGCTGAACCCACCGGTAGTCCTGAACCCTATGTACACTGAGTTTTTCCTACATATCTATGATAAAGCTTAATTTACAAATTAGGCAGAATGAGAAGTCAGCAGCAATAACTAATAATAAATTGAACAACTGCAACAATATGCTGGAATAAGTTATGTGAATGTGGGCATTTCCTCTCCAACAAGGTCACTGGACATAAGCACCTTGCTGTACTTGAACCATCACAGCTCCTCTGCTGACTGACATGGCTACAGGTGACCAACGGCTGGGGATCTGACACAGCCTGGATGGGCTGGACAAGGGAACGATTCGTCCCCAGGTGGGACAGAGCAAGATGGCATGAGATTTCCTCCCACTACTCCGAAGAGCACGCCATTGAAAACTGATGAATTGTTTATTTCTGGAACTTTCCATTTAATATTTTCAAACAGTGGCTGACTGCAGGTAACTGAAACCACAGGAAGCAAAACCATGGCTCAGGGAGACCACTGTCCATTAGCGAAGACCCTGTGAAAACCATGTGCATACAGAGTGGCAACTGCCTGCCCCTCTTCAAAGGGTAACATTGCCCACAGCACTGTATGTCCCCCCAGGCCCTGCCAACAGCTACGAGTGACTGAATTGGGGAGACACCTAACCCCAAGAGAACCAGTACGTGCACTGGCCGGAAGTCTGGGGGATGGCAAAAAAGGTGAACTGAGTCAGCCATACTTTTCCGTCTGCAGGAAAATGAACTCGAAGCAAAGAGAATTTTCCAGAGTTTTTTCAGGAGGCAGAAACATGCCTGCAGGGCTGTAGGTGAGACAGGCCACGTGACAGGCACATCTGTATAACACCTCCACCTGTGCAGCTGGGTGCCAGACCCTCCCCACGCTCTGACCACAGTAAGGCCAAGCGCCAGCATGGTTCTTATTCTAAGTCCCAGTGTGATGCCACCAATTAATCCTGATTACAATAATAAACTCCTTCAATTTGTCTAATGAGAGTGAGTTTCTCTTCTTTGTTACCCCAGAGAGAAACAACAGAAATCAGCACCAGGTATCCCTCATCCATGAGGGAGTTTGTGTGCAACACAGAGTAACTTCCCCATTAGCCTACCCTCTTCAACCTCATGCTCTGACACCACGCAGGGTTGCCTACCAGAAGCCTTGGGCAAGCTAAGCATTTCTTTTCGTTCTTGCCAGCGTGGTGGAGAGAATCACCCCCCACGGGGACTGCCTCGGCACTCTCTGACATCTTGGGCCCTCAGGTGCTGCTCACTGAGAATTCATTTACTGACCAGGAGTGGACCCCACGTGCCATGGCTGACAGGGAGGCCTCATGCTCGACAGACGCCTTTGCTCCTGTTTCATGTCGATTAAGCAAATTCAACAGGAAGCTGCTCAACTTCCCCCCACACACCCCGTTTCTGCTAAAAATTCTTCTCCACATCTTAGACCATCTCCTGCACCTGAACTTGACTTCACACTACCCCGCCATCCGGCTTCCTCTCAGCCCTGTACCTTTAACGTTTTTCTTTGTCCTCTACATGTCTTACTCCATCTTCTAACCTCCCCTCGGCACGGCCACCATGATTAGCTTCTCAAAGCATCCGGCAACAGTGCTATCAACAGAGCCCAGAAATGCTATGTGCCTTGGGATGGGATAATTCTGCTTTGCCTATGGAGCCATTGCTGCCTCCACACATAAATGCTGGCAGAGCCCCTCACACACCAGCCTCACGTGTCCACAAGGTCTTCATGCTGACCTTACCAAGCACCTGAGGGATGAAGTAAGTGGCCCACAACATTCCTTACAGGGCAGGCATGCCAAAAATACTCTACCAGACAGCATCATGTGAAAATAATCAGAGAAATTCGGACTGTGGGGGCTGGCACTGTGCCACAGCGGGTTAAGCCACTGCCTCTGACAAGGCCAGCATCCGGTATCGGAGCACCTGCCTGAGTCCCAGCTGATCCAGCTCTCCGCTAACGTGCCGGGAAATGCAGTGGGTAACGGTCCACTCAGCCTCTGCCACCCACATGGGAGACCCGGATGGATTTCTGGGCTCCTGTTGGAGCCTGGCCCAGACTTGGCAACTGGGTGAGTAAACCGGTGGATGGAAGATTCCTTCTCCCTCTCCCTCTCTCTGTCTGTCTCTTCCTACCTCCCTCTCCAACTCTGCCTTCCAAATAATCAACCAATCTGTGAAGAAAGAAACTTGGAACATGGGCCATTCTGCAAGAAAAGCAGTAGTGTGGCTTTGTCAACACATCAGTGTCAGGAAAAGCCAAAGGCAGGGGGACTTCATCAGCCCGTGACAGTCAAGAGTTACCAAGCTGTGTGAATCCAAACACACACACACACTTCATGGGCAACCAAGGAAATCTGAACATCCCACCTCTCTCTCGAATCTATCTTTCTATCTTCCTTCCTCCCTTCCTCCCTCCCTTCCTCCCTCCTTCCTTCCTTCCTTCCTTCCTTTCTTTTTTAAAGACAGAGTTACAGAGAGAGTTAGAGACAGAGAGAGAGGTCTTCCATCTGCTGGTTCACACCCCAGATGGCTGCAACAGCTGGAGTTATGCCAATATGAAGCCAGGAGCCAGGAGCTTCTTCCAGGTCTCCCATGCGGGTGCAGGGGCCCAAGGACCTGGGCCATCTGCTACTACTTTCCCAGGCCATAGCAGAGAGCTGGATAGAAAGAGGAGCAGCCAGGATTAGAACCGGCACCCATATGGGATGCCAGTGCTTCAGGCCAGGGTTTTAACCCACTGCGCCACAGCGCCAGCCCCTCTGGAATTTCTCACACGGGGTTTTAGAGGTGAACATCCTGCTACTTAGGAGATACAGGACGCAGCAGTGAAGGCAAAACGCAGGGATGTCTGCCACTTGAGCAACACCACCACCAAATATATATATATATATCTGCACTGGGCACCCACGTGTTCAGCAAAGAGTGAGCCAAGATGGTGACCATCCCTCCCGGAGGGGCTGAGTGAAACGTGTGATACCTTCCCAACCCCATGGTATGACATGTTTCTGAATAAGCAGTTGGGGCAGGTGACATCTTGAACAGTTTCACACTAGAGAATGCCCTGCCAGTTCCTCATGGTGGCGTCTGAGAATTCTAACGTCTGGCAACATATTCACTTTCCAGTCTGACTCACAACTTCCGATCACCAGCTGCTCCGCTTAGAGACACCCGCAGACGGTGTGCGCACTCTGTAGGGGACCCCTCTTCGTGTGGGACAGTGCCTTCAGCATTCCTGGCTCCCACCTGCTAGCGCCAGGTGAGCCCCGCCCCAGGTGCCCCTCAGCGGCCCACTCCTCCACACGGCCACTGCACTCCTCAAAGAACAGAGCTGCACCTCCCGGGTTGCGAACTCCCACAAGGCTGCACGGAACCACAGAACAAACCCACACTGCGGAGCTTGGGCCCTACCTGAGTTATCCACCCACAAGAGAAGTCCTGGGCTTCCTCAGCTCTGAATTACTCTTCTTACAAAACCCCTCCCAAATTCTTGATCAAAGAACATGAGAAGTGGGAGTCACGTGACCCACACCACTGGCCTTGCAGGTGATGCACTTGACTGCCCAGGCTCACCCCACAGGGAAGCACTGAAGCCAGGCCTAGAATCGCGGTCCATGTTGAGAGCTCCTGCCACGCTGTTACAGTGCAACAGTCCACACCTGGAGCCGCTTCCCACGCCGTCAGTTAGAACTAAGTGTCCCTTCCTGGAGCCTAAAGCAATTTGCCTGCGACACTCCAGCACCCAAACATCTCTGAAGATCAGTCTGTGCCCGCCTACCTGGCTAAGATCTGGGGCTGCAACTGTGGCCCATCCTTTGTATATCACCCAACGCAACTTGCACACAGTAGGTGCTCAGAAACTATCGACTTAAAATCAGTTACTAGTAAGCCAACTGCAAATGTCACCTCTGAGGAACTCTACTTGGAAAACAAGCACACGGGTGTCTTTTGTGCTGGTATTTTCCACTAGGGTTTTGATCAAGCTCTTACCTCAACAACAATCCCGACAATCTCACCTTTTCTGAGGACGCCCCGTGGAGCCTTCGAGCCAACAGCTTGCCTGCCTGGATGGCCACGGGAGTGAGCTCCGGTTTGCCTTCCAGCACGTCTCCGACGGCATAGACATAGGGCACGTTGGTCTGCTCCACGTCATTGACCGGTATTTTGCCATTCCTATTCATTTTTGAGGGAACACAAATACACTTACAAAAACAAATTACACTGCTGGGTGACGGAAATTACCCCCAACAGACTAACTGCCCGGAGAAAAGAGCTCCCTCTCAGAAATCATGCACCTTGGGTTGTCAACTGTCTAGAGTACCGATGGCTTCCCGTAGCAAGAGTTTCCGTGGCCCCGAAAGAAAAGCTCTGGGGAAACTGGCTTTCTGGATGCCTCGGATACCTCCAGAACCTTCTCCCAGTCACTCTGAGAGATCTGGGACTTTCTCCATGCTGGTCCAGATCATAGAAGCTCACTTAAATCACAGAGAGCAGGCAAATCCATCTGCACAACCATTTTTGAAATCACTACTTAGTGCAGAAGCTCTTCAAGGCTCATGGTAAGAGTTACTGATTGATGAATCAAGACGCTGATAACACAGAGGGAGCGCAGTACTTACTGTAAGATAAATGATCTTACATCTGAGTAAGTAAATGAGAGTTTTGGAGATGATGTGCGGCAGAGTTTTGCTCTGCGCGGCAGTCAGGCAACGATCCTGCACGTACTTACTTCTCGTTGATTCTCACTCCAATCTTCTCTAAGCCTATGTTCCTCGTACAGGAGTCGCGACCAATAGCTAACAGAACCTGTATTCAAAGAGATCAACACCAGAAATCACCCAAATCACCCATATCAGGAATGAGAGGGCACGTCGCTATTTAGACATTCAAAGGGTAACTCACGAACAGCTCAGGTGAAGTGGATTTTCTGTAAGAGGCAATTTACTAAACTTAGACACAAAGACCTGAATAAGCCTATGCTACGGGCTGAACTGTGTCTCTGCAAAATTCATGCTGAGATCCTAACCCCAAGGACCTCAAAGTGTGACTGACTTGGAGTCAGGGCCTTTAGAGGGGTAGGAAAGGTAAAATATGGGCGGGCCCTTGTCTAACAGGACTGAGTGGTGTCCGACTTGGACACTGGCTCATTAGAGAGAGAAGACCACATGCAGCCACAGAAGGCAGCCATCTGCAAGCCACGGAGAGAGGCCTCGAAAGACATCAGCCTGCCAGTGCCTTGATCCTGGGCTTCCGGCCTCCAGAACTGTAGGAAAACACATTTCCGTTGTTTAACTCCATCTGCAGTATTTCACTTTAGCAGCCTACTGAACGAATGCACCCTATATTCATTAAGAAACTGAACTCACAGTTTGTAAGCTTCCCGTTAGCTAAGTGCAGGCCCAGAGGGCTACGCTGATAAAGTCTATGAACCTGGAACTAAGAACACGACTAGGGGGACATGAACTCTTCCGGAAGAGAAAGGAGCGTTTCTCCGCCCCTTCACGGGAGGCCAGTAGAAACCTCACACCAACGCCAGGCAAGGGCATTAAAACAAAAGAAAATCCCAAGCCTTCACTCCTCCCGAGCTCCGATGTAGCATCCTTGATGAAGCATTAGCACATCAGATGTAGCAACATGCAGAAAGGATAACTGATCAAGACCAAGTAGAGTCTGTCCTCACAGTAAAGTTGGTTTACCGTACAAAACCCAATGGGAGTGCATTCATCTTAACAAAATAAGGGAGAAAACAACCATCTCAAGGGACGCAGGGAAAGCACCTGACAGAATTCAGCACGGTCCCCGGTGCACAAAGAATACAGGAAAACTCCCCTCCGCACGAGAGGCCACAGCCCCGCCGTGGTGAAAGCCCAATGCTCCACCCCTGGGGTCAGGAACCAGACGCAGCCCGGCTCACGATCTCTACTCAGCGCTGCCCTGGAGGACTGCACCAGAAGGCAAAGCAAAGACGAAGCCATGCGGACTGGAGGGGAGAAACACGACTGTTTTCATCTGCAGACCAGAATCCTAGGAAGCTGCTACAAGGTCAATACACAAAAAGATCACCTGTATTCCTATAACTAGCAACAGACCAGTGAAAATTAGAATTTTTAAAAACCTGTTTACACTAGATTAGACAGCATGAAATACTGAAACATAAATTTAGCACAGTATGTGAAGAGCTCTACAGCACACTATAAAACACCACCGAGAGCAACCAAGGTCTACAGATAAATGGAAAGATATATGAAGTGCACGTATCGGGAAATCAATATTGCTGTCAGTTCTTCCAAACCGAGCACAGAATAAGTACACTCGCAACCAAAAATCCCAAGTTTTTTTTTTTTTTTTTTTGACAGGCAGAGTGGACAGTAAGAGAGAGAGACAGAGAGAAAGGTCTTCCTTTGCCGTTGGTTCACCCTCCAATGGCCGCCGCGGCCGGCGCACTGCGCTGATCCGAAGGCAGGAGCCAGGTACTTATCCTGGTCTCCCATGGGGTGCAGGGCCCAAGCACTTGGGCCATCCTCCACTGCACTCCCGGGCCACAGCAGAGAGCTGGCCTGGAAGAGGGGCAACTGGGACAGAATCCGGCGCTCCGACCGGGACTATAACCCGGTGTGCCGGCGCCGCAAGGCGGAGGATTAGCCTAGTGAGCCGCGGCACCAGCCCCAAGATGTTTTTAAAGAAAGTGACAAGCTGCTTTTTAACAATTTATATAGAAATGCAAAGGTCCTAAACAAAGTAGAAGGACTTACTTTGCCTGATCAGAGACTTGTCATAGAACGTCAGTAACGGGAATGACGCAGTAAGGGGGAAAGGACAGAGAGATCGGTCGAGGGACAGAATAAAGAATGCAGAAACAGAAGCCCCGCTAAACAGCCGAAAGATGTCCACAAAGGCACCAACGCAATTCAGTGGAAAAAGGAAGTCTTTCCGGGTAACCATGAGAAAGAAAAAGAACTTTGACTCAAACACAAAACTTACAAAAGCTTCAGGAGGAAATGGATGGGCATCTTCATGATCTTTGGGTAAGTAAAGACTTCTCAGAGCACAAAGAAAGCATTAACCATAAAGGGAAAAAACAGATAAATCTGATGTCACGAAAACTGTAAGACTACTGCTCATCAAAAGAAGCTTTTAAAAATTAAGGCGCCATGGCTCACTAGGCTAATGCTCCGCCTGCGGCGCTGGCACCCCGGGTTCTAGTCCCGCATGGGTGTCGGATTCTGTCCCGGTTGCTCCTCTTCCAGTCCAGCTCTCTGCTGTGGCCCAGGAGTGCAGTGGAGGATGGCTCAAGTGCTTGGGCTCTGCACCCGCATGGGAGACCAGGAGAAATACCTGGCTCCTGGCTTCAGATTGGCGCAATGCACTGGCCATGGCAGCCATTTGGGGGGTGAACCAGCGGAAGGAAGACCTTTCTCTCTGTCTCTCTTTCTGTCTAACTCTGCCTGTTTCAAAAAAAAAAAAAGAAAAAGAAAGAAATTAAACAGGTGTTAAGTAGAACAAAAAAAATACTACAAGGAATAAAGCAGTAAGTTGTTCCTTGACAGTCAGGACAAGGGCTGATCAAGTCATTGTTTCTCATAGTGTCCATTTCACTTCAACAGGTTTCCTTTTAGGTACTCAGTTAGTTGTCAGTGATCAGGGAGAACATATGATATTTGTCCCTTTGGAACTGGCTTATTTCACTCAGCATGATGTTTTCCAGATTCCTCCATTTTGTTGTAAATGACCAGATTTCATTTTTTTTACTGCTGTATAGTATTCTATAGAGTACATATCACATTAATTTCTTTATTCAGTCTTCTGTTGATGGGGATTTAGGTTGCTTCCATGTCTTAGCTATTGTGAATTGAGCTGCAATAAACATTGAAGTGCAGACAGCTCTTTTATTTGCCAATTTAATTTCCTTTGGGTAAATTCCAAGGAGTGGGATGGCTGGGAAGCAGGATACACAGCAGACTCATAGAATGGCAAATGTCCTAAACAGCACTCTGGCCTCAGAATCAGCCCTTAAGGCATTCAGATCTGGTTAAAAAGCCCATGAGAGTATTTCAGGCATGGAAAGCCAAGACACTCTGGCAAACAAACAAACACCTAAATGAAAGATCTCTATGAGTGAGATCCCAGCGGAAAGAATGGGCCATCAAAGAAGGAGGAACCTTTCTCTGAAGGGAGAACTTCCATTTTGACTATGGCCTTGTCTAAGTAAGATCAGAGTGGGCGAACTCAAGAGGCTTCCATAGCTTTGGCAGCTCATGACAAGAGCTTTGGGTGATTACTGGTGTTATAAATAAGAGTGTCAATTGTTAAATCAACAACGGGAGTCACTGTGCACTTACTCCCCATGTAGGATCTCTGTCCTTAATGTGTTGTACTATGTGAATTAACGGTATAACTAGTACTCAAACAGTACTTTATACTTTGTGTTTCTGTGTGGGTGCAAACTGTTGAAATCTTTACTTAATATATACTAAATTGATCTTCTGTATATAAAGATAATTGAAAATGAATCTTGATGAAGAATGGAATGGGAGAGAGAGTGGGAGATGGCATGGTGTCGCTCCCCCTCTTCGTGGAGGAACGACACAGGACCCTGCGTTGTTCTTTCGTCTGCTCGGCCCTCCCCGGGTTTGCTGCTGGTTCTTCCCGGGTTGGCTACCGTCCCTTCCACCTCCGTGGAAGGGCGGTTCCCCCTGCCACTTTCCCCACTTCCGCGGGGGAGCGGCACACCGCCGGCCGGCTCTCTCGGGGGCTGCTCAGGTGTTCCTTCAGATAGATGTTCCTGGTGCATGTTGTCTCTCTCCTCCTTTATAGTCCTCTTCCATCAATCCCAACTCTGCTACCCACACGCCGAGTACGCTGCTCTCCTCCAATCAGGAGCAGGATCAGCTCCTGCAGCTCAATCAAGTTGGTGAGAGGCAGCTGTGTAGAAGCTGTTTCCTCCTCTCCCAGCGCCATATTGTGGGAAAGCAGATGCATAGAATAAGTCTTAATTCCAGTAACTTAGCCTAGTCTCAGTTGCTCCCCACAGCATGGTTGAGGGTGAGAGGGAGGTTATGGGGGGGGGGAAGCCGCTATAATCCAAAAGTTGTACTTTGGAAATTTATATTTATTAAATAAAAGTAAAAAAAAAAATTAAACAGGGCCGGCGCTGCAGCTCACTAGGCTAATCCTCCACCTTGCGGCGCCAGCACACCGGGTTATAGTCCCGGTCGGAGCGCCGGATTCTGTCCCAGTTGCCCCTCTTCCAGGCCAGCTCTCTGCTGTGGCCCGGGAGTGCAGTGGAGGATGGCCCAAGTGCTTGGGCCCTGCACCCCATGGGAGACCAGGATAAGTACCTGGCTCCTGCCTTCGGATCAGTGCCGTGTGCCGGCCGCGGCGGCAATTGGAGGGTGAACCAACGGCAAAGGAAGACCTTTCTCTCTGTCTCTCTCTCTTAATGTCCACTCTGCCTGCCAAAAAAAAAAAAAAAGTTAAAAAAAATAAAAATACTAAAAAAAAATTAAACAGGTAGAGCCAGTGCAGTGGTGTTAGTGGGTTAAGCCGCTATCTGTAGAGCCAGCTTTCCATATGGGCACTGGTTTAATTCCCAGCTGCTCTGCTTCTGATCCAGCTCCTTGCTAATGCACCTGGGAAAGCAGCAGAGGATGGCCCAAGTCCTTGGGTCCTGCACCAAGGTTGCAGACCTGGAAGAAGCTCATGACTTCCGGCTTCAGCCTGGCCCAGCTCTGGCCATTTTGGCCATTTAGGGAGTGAACCAGCAGATGGAAGATCTGTCTCTCCTTTTCTCTCTGTATCTCTGGCTCTCAAATAAATAAATTAATTTTTAAAAATACCACTACACATCCACTAGAATGGCTAAAATGAGTAAGCCAGACAACACTAGAGGTTGGTGAGGATGTGGAACAGTGAAAACTTCAAGCTTGGCTGGGGTATAAAGTGATACATACCATCATCTTTTTTTGAATTTTATTTTTATTTATTTGAAAGGCAGAGTGATGGAGGGAGAGGAGGAGGGAGATGGGAGGAGGAAGAGAAAGAAAGAGAGAGTGAGAAATCCTCCATTTGTTAATTTATTCCCCCAAAGGCCACAACAGCAGGGCTGGGCCAGGTTGAAGCCAGGAGCCAGGAACTCCACCTGGATTTCCCTTATTGGGTGGCAGGGGTCCAAGTACTTGGGCCATCCTCTGCTGCCTTTCCCAGTGCATTAGCAGGGCTGGATGGGAAGCAGAGCAGCCAGGTCTCGAACCAGCACTCTGGTAAGAGATGCCAACGTGGCGGTCCTTGGCTTAACCTGCTGCACCACAACATCAGCCCTGATAACAGCATCCAAAAACTGGCAATCTCTTCTGAAAAAGTTAAACTCAGAAACTACCTGATAATCAAGGAACTTCACCACCAGGTACTTATCCAGCAGAAACTGAAATACATGTCCACAGAAGGCTTCAGTGTGGAAATCTTCACAGCAGTGGTGATCACAATATCCCAACTGCAAGGCGCGTAGGTGTCCACCCACAGGAAGAGGCGTAAGCAAACGGTGCTCTACTCACAGTCCAACAGAAGGAACCAACCACTGACGCACAGAACGTGGACAAACGCTAAGGACATCCGCCTGACCAAAGAAGTGGGGCAGCAAGGAGCACACACCCTGTACTGGTCCATGCATGTGACGCGCAGAATAAGCAAAACAGACCCAGAGTGACACAACCAGAATGGCGTTTGCTCGGGGCCAGGGACTGGGAAGGGGCCCGAGAGCTTTCCAGACCACAGGAGCATTCGGTTACTTTTAAAAGAGTGCGCCTTACACAAACGTGTGGTTTGTCAAAACAGCACTGCATACCCAAGACCTGTGCACTCCACGACCTAGAAATTATGTCTCAGCACACAATGAGCTGACAAAGTCACACAGTACAAACAGCTTTACATACCAATATATGGACGTCTAGATGAGATGAACTAATTTACCAAAAAAAAAAAAACTGATTAAACCTGACTCAAGAAAAAAACAGAAAGCCTTGAAAGCCTTCTGACCATTAAAGAAATTGGATCAGCGCCCAAGAAAAATTCTAATATTACTCAAACGCTGTCAGAGAATACAAAAAGAGAAAACATACTCCAAACTACCTTCATCTAGAATAACCATTGTACTCACACTTAACAATTTCAGTATATGAATGGAAATTACAAGCCATTTACCTTTCACTAATATAAATGCAAAAAAATCTAACTAACCACAGCCAACACCACCGAGCTGGGTTTATTCCAGGAACACAAAATCTATATCACATTAGAAAATCAATGTAACTTAACCCATTGACACAGGGGTGGGAAACTTTTCCCTGCCAAGGGCCATGTGGATACTTGTAATATCATTTGCAGGCCATTCAAGATTATCAACTTAAAATTTGGCCTACTACAGATTTATTGAAATTTGAATCCTGCCTGCAGTTGCCTTGGCAGGGCCAGACCAAATGAGTTTGCAGACCTCATATGGCCCACAGGCCAGATGTTCCCCACACCTATGTTAACAGATTAAAGAAAAAAACTCATCATGAACACCAGCAAAAGAAACATTGTTAGAAATAAATATGCATTAGTGACTGTAAAGTAGGCAAAAAAAAAACATAATAACAAACAAAATAACGGAAAAGAATTACCTTAATTTGACTGAAATCCTACATAAAATATTACTCTAATACCAAGACACTGAAAACTTCCCATTTTATATTGAGAACAAGACAAGAACTCCTGCTATTGTCATTTCTCGTCAACACTTCACTGGAAGTCCTAGCTAGTACACTTATGCAAAAAAAATTTAAAGAGACAGAGAGAGAAACAGTAGAAAGGAGGAAACAAGAGTTATTATTCTTAAATAATATGAATATGTACACAAGAAATCCAAGATAACCTATGAATAAATTTTCAAATAAGAATACAGCAAAATTATTGAGTACTATAAAACACAGAAACAGTGGAATTTCTATAGACCAGCAACAGGTAAAGATAATGAGATTTTTCCAAAATACCATTTGTAACTACATATAAATACAAAGTACCCAGGAATAAATCTAACAGATGTTCTCGATGTCTGTGGAGAAATCTATTTACTCTGTCAGGAATTAATCATTAAAGAAGATCTAAATTAATGAACTGATGTACCATGTTCATGGATCAGAACCCTGAATACTGCAAAGAAGTCAAGTGTCTCCACCTGATCTATAAATCCAACGCAGTCCTAAGATCTCAACAAGGTTGATTGCTGTGTTTTGGTTTTGTTCTATACCTTTCAGCATGCTGATTCTTCCCACTCATATACTATGTTTTCTTTTTCAACTGACAAAATATGTATATAAAGAGTATATAAAACAAAAAATAGCTTTTAAGACTATAACTGGGCTTGTGCTGTGGTGTGGTGGGTAGGACCACCCCTGCAGCACCAACATCTCATGTGGGCACTGGTTTGAGTCCCGGCTGCTCCACTTCCCATCCAGCTTTCTGCTATGACTTGGGAAAGCAGCAGAGGATGGCCAAAGTCCTTGGGCCCTTGCACCCGCATGGGAGACCTGGAGGAAGCTCCTGGCTCCTGGCTTTGGATTGGCTCAGCTCCAGCTGTTGCGGCCAATTGGGGAGTGAACCAGCGGATGGAAAACTGACTCTGACTCTCTCCCTCTCCCCTCACTCCTGCCTCTCTGTGACCCTCCCTTTCAATAAAATAAAAAAAAAAAATCTTTAAAAAGAGGACTACAACTAATTACAAAATAATTACTGGCATCCAAAAGATCCCTTGTGCTATTCACATTACTGGGGGATTTTTTAATTATTTGTTTTTGAAAAAAAAAAAAACAGGTTTATTGTTGTTAAATACTCATATAAATATAAAATCCTAATTCCTCAGAAGCACTAATAACAGGTGGATATATAAATATGCTTCCAGATTTTGTTCTGCTGTGCTGTTACATACACATATATTTCACCATATTCTTTTTGTATCCTATAAAATCAAATGTCAGTAGGCCAACTACCTTCCATACCTATCATAGTCTTACAAAGAACAAAAAATATGTTACTAAGTTAAACTGCTGCTAGCTGATGCGTGTGTCCAGTCACTTGCTGCTTATAAAAGAAAAACTCACCGTGTTGTACACGCCTTCAATCGTCTCTGGCCCCTCCGTAGATTTAGCCGTTACTTTCAGCTTTCCAGGTGAACCCTTCTCCAACTGTTGAACCTGTCGAGGATAAATCACGGGATGATTCTCTCTAAAGGTGACAGAACACAAGCGGCTCAAATGGGCCTAAGTGTGTGGACGTACACCTGGGTATGCATACGTGGTGCGTATATTTAAGGTTTGGGGACAAGATGGAAACAGAAAAAAAAAAAAAAGAAGGTGGCAGTCCCAAGATACGTTGTGGAGGTAGTAGTGGTTAAGGGATTGGCTGAGCGTGGAGGCATCACAACCGGAGATGAGCGCAGCTTCCTGGGTGCGGGCTCCACAAACTGTGCGGACCGCGGCGGCTTTCGCTGCGGACTGAGATGGGCCAGGTAGATTAGCAAGGGACTACATTAAGGTAGAAACGCTGAGTTTCATTTTTATCTTGTTAAATTTGCAATGCTTATGAGGGATTCAAGTGGTGCTCTCCGGTAGGCAGTTGTATAAATGAGTGTGAATCAGGAGAGATGCTTGAGCGGGAGCTAGAAGTCGGCATCATTAGCATTTAGATGGCACTTGAAACTGAGGGCCTGAAGAGGATCATGCAGGTGAACAAGAACGAAACCAGGAGGGACCGGGGGGAAACAAACAGGTGCTGGGGCTGACGCGCCGAGGAGCAGTGCAGGGCCAGAACCATGGGCACACGGGCCAGAGGGAAGAGGGCGCCCCAGGCCCAGGCCAGGGCCGTGGGTCCCACTGCCCGCTGCCGAGAAGCTCAGCAGGCCGAGGACAGAGAGGTGACCGTGGGATCTGACAACAGGGAGCCTGCTAAGAACCCAGCAAGCATTGTCAGGAGAGTGCTGGAGTGGAAGTGGCTGACAACTGGCGTGAGCATGGGAGAAACTGGAAATCACAGAGACAGGAGTAGGTGCGGGAAAGAGAAGAAAAACGGGGACCCAGCCAGGAAAGCACTGGACAAGGGGCACCGGGAAGGCTTCTTTGTCTCAAGAGGAGAAATCCTGATGGGAATAAGAGAAAAGAAAGGCAACCCCCGAGGACAGCTGAGAGGCAGTGAGAGAAGAGGGGACCCCCCCCCCGCCCGGGGACACAGCAGCACCAGCTTCTCCATCACCTGGGGGGATGGAAGGCCCGTGAGGCCAGCTTCCTACATCTGGGGTGGAAACCCTATTTTCAGCACTATTGAGTTCAGACCGATGAAATGAAGTAAGGAGGGGCAAAATAAAAAGTCGGAGAGAGAATAAGGAAGCAAATAAAGGAATTGCAAGCGTCACCCAGACTTACCATCACAGGTACAAACTTTCTTAAGAACTTGACACCGTGCTGCTGCATGTAGGAGCCCACTTTCTCTGCCACTTCTTGATCAAAGCCTCGCAGAAGGATGGAGCGCACCATGACTGTGACGTCTAACCCAAGGCCAGCCAGAAACCCCGCACACTCCAGCGCCACGTAAGAGGCGCCCACTACCAGCGTTTTGCCGGGACAATAAGGCAGAGAAAAAAGGTCATCACTGAAAGATAAAAATAAAATTAAAAAAGAAACTGCAGGCAATAAACAGGAAATGCACTTTTGGGGTTTCAGTACAGAAGGGGCTTTCGGCAGCTGAACTGCGATCAGGGGAGCTTAAGAAACCCTCAGAGAAAAAGCTTCTGAAGTGTGTGATTCAGTCTAGGGTGGAGAGAAGGGGCAGAAGCAAGTAGACCTTAAGTTTCCCAAAATCAAATTAGATCACAAGTAAAGGGTACAAAAAACTAAAACAGAAAACACTGAACTACATTAAATGCAACAAGACAAATGGCTGTTTACTTTGGATGCATGTGTGTGTGTGTGGACAAACAGGTTCAGCTGAACAAGAGTGCAATGAAGAATATCATTCTTGGGGCTGGCGCTGTGGCAGAGTGGGTAAAGCTGCTGCCTGCAGTGCTGGCATCCCAATTGGGCTCCAGTTCGAGTCCCGGCTGCTCCGCTTCCGTTACAGCTCTGTTACGGCCTGGGAAAGCAGTGAAGACGGCCGAAGTGCTCGCATGGGAGACCCAGAAGAAGCTCCCAGCTCCTGCCATGTTAGCCATTCGGGGAGAGAACCAGCGGATGGAAGACTTCTCTCTCTGCCTCTGCCTCTCTGTGACTCTGCCTTTCAAACAAATAAATACATATTTAAAAAAAAAGAAAGAAAAGAAAAATATTCTTGAAATGTCTGCTCAGAAAGGTCTCCAAGTCACTGTAGTGCATGATACAGTGCCTTCTGCGTGACCATCCAGGGAAAACGCCTGGGAACCTCTGCTCCATTCTATCAGGTGCACACATAACCCTACAGCTCGTGGAGTTTACTTCTTTGCTTTGGCCTACAGGAAATTCAGGGCCAACTTTCCAGACCACTTCCAGATATTTCCTGGAAACAGACGGCATACTCTGGTACACAAACTTTACCACTGGCCTTATGATTTCCCTAACCTCACTTTCTCTTTCTTTCATGACTATTTCAAACTCCTGAGCTTCTTGTACTGTGTGTTCTTTCATCTGTCATCAATGCAAATATTTTGTGGGATTAGGGAGCAAATGAAATTAGAAACTGAAACACAATGCAATCGCTTAGAGTTAAAATGGTCTTTTAAATCTTACCTAGTAATACAGAATTCCTTATCTCCTGGGATCCCTAAATATCGTGGTCTTTCACCTGTTGCTATGACAAAATTGGCAGAAGTGTAGTAAGTTTCCTGTCCCTTTCGATTGGTTGCCTGGAAAAAAAGAAAATGAAATTTCACTTATTCAGCAAACACTACAAAGCATCAGACACCTGGACACGTGAACAATCATGCGCTGTGATAAGCACATAATGCAGAAAACAAAGGTCTTGACAAAATATGGATCAAGGAGGTTTTCACGTGGAAATGAGGAAAAAAAAGAAATGATTTGGAAAGGATGGAGACCTGGGAGACAGAACAGCACAGTACCCGGATCCGGAGGAGCTGGGGACTGGGGTCAGGGGCTGGAAGTGACCGCAGAGCAGGTCTGTGGCAAAGGAGACATGAAGCAGACAGACTAGAGCCAGAGGTAAAGCTCCTCACTTGGCACCCAGAAAATGCAGCCAATGGGAAACCAACCAGGACTGTTCACACCTGTAAGTACACGAGGGATGCAGAAGTCACTCCATTTTACAAATTCAGATGCCAATGAGAGTGTTTAAACAAGTGGGCTGGCACGGCTGGCAGCGGTGCCGAAAAGAGGGACCTGTTGCTAAGGTCCTGTAACAGACAAGCAAGCGCGTGCTGTGGGGTGAGACGGAGGAGCCTCAAGTTTGCAGCTCCAGCACCTGGGAGACGCTGGGGAACCACAGACAGAGCAGCGGGTTTGGCCAGGGAGCGATCGGCTTATCCAACCATCTGTGCCAGGCACACTGCACTTCGAGGAACAGTAAGCAACTGGGATTTCTACTGTGCTTCACATGAATAATGGAATCCAACCTGGCCCATCTAAGGGTCCCAAAGGGAAGCTTTAAATGGACATTTCACACCTTTCTAAATTCAGATAGCTGGCTGCCCAACAATCCAAATCCGTCAACATTATCTCACTGTGCTCCCAAAGCAAAGTATAAAATAAAGCAGACATTGAGCCCAAGGTCTGCCTGTCCTTCTTAACGCCGATTAAAATGTTTGTGTTCATCAAAAAGATCTCTTTTTCCTCATGTGTTCATCTTCTGTGGTATACTTAAACATTATAAGTATGAATTCACAACACACTGATTTTGATACTGCTTTTATCAAAGCTTTATGAACAGAAAATGCTGAAGTTCTAAAGAAAGTTTCACTTATTAAAAAATCTCACTGCTAACACTTTGATCTTTTAGATTTTATTGGCTTTGAACTGTTGAAACACTTCCTCTAAGATGATAATGAAACCAAAGGCAAATAATAACTTTAAGAGTTCTTTAAAACACAATTTCTTCCCTTTACCCAGATATGTGGAATCAACAAACAGGGAAATGCACATGCGTGTACTGCTCTGTGTGTGTGTGTGTGTGTGCGTGTGCGTTTACGTCTTAGCCAAAGTCCGTAAGGTGCGATGTGAAGTCTAGTTCGTGGGAAATACGGGCAGCAGTAAGGGAAGGCAAGAACAGGACAAGAAATTCAAACAGTACCTTTACTGTATGATGTTCAACAAATTCTCCGTAGGAGTTGACATAGGTCACGCCCCTCTCCCTCAAAGACAACCTGTAGCCCCAGTTCAGAGAGCCAATGTGGTTCTGAATCGCTTCTGTCATGGTCTCCCAGTTGTGCTTCACTGAAAAGAAACCAGGGGGTGAAGGAGTAAGCATGGTGTACTTGTGATGTTAAATTATCCGCACACATGCAAGCCACATCCGGCTGTTTCAAAAATCAAGAGCCTTTGTCTGCCACTGCCGGTGCATTCTGAAGGTCACACGGACTCCATGCAGCTCGGTCCACAAGACACAGAGACGGGCCTGGGGTTCCCCAGGAACTGGACGAGATCCCTAGGACAGGGCAGCAACCCCAGGGTGAGGGTCACAGCTGGAGACTGACGCCAACTACGACTCTCAAGAAGTGGCCCCGACTCACCCAGGGACGTGGATGGTACCGGGCAGGGAAGAGAGCGGCCTAGAAAGGAGGAGGCCCCGGGCACAGGGAAGCACAGCCAGGGGAAAGGATGGTGGCCCTTTCTCTGACACAGCCTGCGACAGCTGCCCACGATGCTGCCATCTACAGCGGTCACTCCCATTACTACGCGACACACGCACAGGTTCAGGGGCCAAGTCTCCCTTAGCTAGACTCACATCACATAAGCAGTTGAGCACCACAAAGTAAACAGTAAAAAAAGTAAAAACCACTGTAAAAACAGTAAAAGTAAAAATCACTGAGATTTTTCTAGGACTTAAATAAAACCTGCACACTAATTTTGAGATAAATATCTCCACAATCTAAAGTTATCTCCTCTAACATCTTAGATTCCTGCCATGCCTTTGTAGTCTTTCCTTATATATCCTACACCTTCCTGGTTGAATTTATTCCAAGGTAGTCTATGAATATCATGTTACATCTTATTATTTTTTTCTTTTTCTTTTTTTGACAGGCAGAGTTAAGACAGTGAGAGAGAGAAAGGTCTTCCTTTTTCCATTGGTTCACCCCCGCAAATGGCCGCTACGGTCAGTGCACTGCGCTGATCCGAAGCCAGGAGCCAGGTGCTTCCTCCTGGTCTTCCACGCGGGTGCAGGGCCCAAAGACCTGGGCCATCCTCCACTGTACTTCCGGGCCACAGCAGAGAGCTGGACTGGAAGAGGAGCAACAGGGACAGAATCCAGCGCCCTGACCAGGACTAGAACCTGGTGTGCCAGCGCTGCAGGCGGAGGATTAGCCTAGTGAGCCGCGGTGCTGGCCGCTATTGATTTTTATATATTTACCTTCTAAGCAATCAACAACTCAAGTCTAGAATTTCTTGGTTCAATCTTATATGTTCCAGCTCTACCATATATAATTGTATATAATTTGCATCATAAATTTTCAATCTTTTTATAACTTTTTTCAAATGCGTGCACTTTCTGTTACCTATTTGTCCTTTGCATGCACTGGCCAGACGCACTACAGCAATGCAGATATCAGCGGGAAGTGGGGCGGGGGGCGGTGCGCAGCCCTGTCTGACTCTTCACTTAATACAGAGACAGGGTTCTCGGCTGTGAAAGACCACCCAGGAGTTAAACGCCACAAGGAGAGGCCGCACTTTATGGACACCCACTGGTGCTAGTTTGATCTACAGCACCCCATGGGCTTGGGGAAACGCACCCAGCCTCTACTCAGGACCTCAACTGAACCATGCCCAGCCACTAACCCACAGCTGCTGCTGCCTTCGACCTCAAGGAGCTCCGCTCCCCTTCACCCAGCCCCTCTGCCTTCTTCCCATTCACCCTTTGCCATGCCGTCACCTGGGTGGCCCGTCACAATCACCTGAGCATCAGAACCCGCTGCGACAGTGAAACCTGTACACGCTCTGTGCAAAGAGCCTGGCTGTTCAGAATTTCTTAAAACCCCACACGGCGTGCGACACACAGCCAAGACGGAGAACCACACTCCACATGCAAGCTGTACTGCGTCCCATCAGGGCCACGCCCTTCAGTCTCTCTAAATCCAGCTCCGCACGGGCCTCCATCATTCCTCATGCCCCTCCCCTGACCCCTACTCTGCTTTCTAGGTGCCTTTGTGGGTACCACAGGAGGATCTGGAATAATACAGACTGGAATGCCTGCTCCTCTCCTGCTTAAACTCAACAGCTCTCAGCAGGGGGCAAACTCTATCTCCTGAAGATGGCACTGGAGGCCGGCGCCGCGGCTCAATAGGCTAATCCTCCGCCTTGCAGCGCCGGCACCCCGGGTTCTAGTCCCGGTCGGGGCGCCGGATTCTTTCCCGGTTGCCCCTCTTCCAGGCCAGCTCTCTGCTGTGGCCCGGGAGGGCAGTGGAGGATGGCCCAAGTCCTTGGGCCCTGCACCCCATGGGAGACCAGGAGAAGCACCTGGCTCCTGCCATCGGATCAGCGTGGTGCACCAGCCACAGCGGCCATTGGAGGGTGAACCAACGGCAAAGGAAGACCTTTCTCTCTGTCTGCCTCTCACTGTCCACTCTGCCTGTCAACAACAACAAAAAAAAAGATGGCACTGGAGGGCCCTGAAGACCTGCTCATGTTTCCAATGGCATTTTTTCTCCCAGCATCCCCCACTATTCCTCACCACATTCCCTCATCAACTCCACCCAACACTCCAGGTTTTCTGTCCTCTTCCAGCCTTAAACGTCCCATTCTGTGGCCTTTAAGACACAGCTCTCGGGTCCCCCTTGTGCCCAAAGCTTTCCTTGATCCTTCCCTGCACTCACAAAGCTGCATCAGATGCACTCAAGGCAATGCTCAAAACAGCACAGTAAGTGATGAGGGTACTTTGAAAAGTTTATGGGAAATGCAGTTAAAAGAGACTTTATTTAGGTTCATTTAGGTGCAAAACGATTGCAGTCCCGTGCAGTGTGTAACACGCACTTTGTGTACTCTTTTGGAAGGACCCCAGCACAGTGCTGAGTGGACTCCCTGCCTGTCTCCCCCATCAGACCTCATCCTGCTTGGGAGCAGCAGCTCGGAAGCCCTCCTGTCTGTACCTGAGCCGGGCAGGAACGGCTTGTTGGAGGAGCCTGTTTCCTGCCTTTCATTAACCAAAGATCCACCTTACCACTGAGCCAGTGGAAAATATTATCATCATAACAGATAAAACCAGAAGAATACTCCTCAGTATTCCGTTTTCTTGATACTTGAAAGAAATCTGCAACTAGGGATCCCTATCTCGCGCGCGCTACTAAGCGGCTGGCGCTGGTGTCACTGAAACAGGCAGGGCTCTCGGACAGCAGGTCCGGCTTTGTGTCCTCGGAGCCCCAGTGGCCTGCAGCTGGCTCCCAGCGAGTGTTTATGACATGAACTTCAGACTCAGCTACAAAAGCAGGCGCGGCAAATCTGCATCACAGAGACTCCCTCTTTCCCCTCTCCCCCCACCCGTGTCTTCTGCCCCGCTACTCACCCTGCTGACTGTACTCCCAGCCAAACTTCCGAGAGTCACGTAACGCCTGCCCCAGGAGGGCAGCCTGATGCATCAGCTTCTTGGGAATACAGCCTACGTTCACACAAGTGCCCCCGAGCCCTGGGAGAGGGAACAAGACTTGAGCTTTCCTGCACGTGTGCACACGCGGGTGTGCACAGCTGCCCACACCTGTGCAAGGTTATTAAAACATGTGGAACGGTGATGAGGAGGACAACTCTTACCCTGAAAATAACACACAACTGATCAATCCAGACTTCCTAACCAAGGGCCATGAAGAAAACCCAACGATAGGCAAAAATATGGGCACGTGAAGAGTTTTCTGGGGACAGAGTCCACAACTTCCACTTGAGTCTGAGCCACAAAGGGGTGAGACCCGGGTTAGAGGCACTGGATGTGCACACACCACACCCAGGGCCAGAACCTCGGCTTCTAGCCTGCCACCCTCTGTCACGCCGACTCCTCCTCTGAACCAATCTTCGGGTCCCTGCAAGCTGCCTGGTGACATCCCCTGTGAATCCTGATTGACACAAAGCAAATTGTACACCAGTGTCCCCTCCCAGGGCACAAGTCAAACATTTCCTCTGTGCTCACAGTCTCTGCCAGGTGCACCAGAGAAGGTGGATCGTTTCCGGTCAGAACTGGGCCAAGGAGAGGAGGAGAGGAGGGAAGAGGACAGGGGAATGGAAGAGGACAGGGGCTACACCCCCCTCCCCCAGGACTACCATGAGGAGCATCAAGGTAGGTGAGTTTTGTTTTTTTTGTTTTTTTTTGTTTGTTTGTTTGTTTTTTTGTTTTTTTTTTTTTTTGACAGGCCCAGAGTGGACAGTGAGAGAGAGAGAGACAGAGAGAAAGGTCTTCCTTTGCCATTGGTTCACCCTCCAATGGCCGCTGCGGCCAGCGTGCTGCGGCCGGCGCATCGCACTGATCCAAAGCCAGGAGCCAGGTGCTTCTCCTTGTCTCCCATATGGGTGCAGGGCCCAAGCACCTGGGCCATCCTCCACTGCCCTCCCGGGCCACAGCAGAGAGCTGGCCTGGAAGAGGGGCAACTGGGACAGAATCCGGCGCCCCGACCAGGACTAGAACCCGGTGTGCCGGCACCGTGGGCGGAGGATTAGCCTAGTGAGCTGTGGCACTGGCCAGGTGAGTTTTCCTATATGAAATTCCAGCCAAAAACTTTCAGTGTTAGTTTGAATTTTAAAAAACGATGTTCACATCCTATCACTCAGGATTCTGGCAGGAAAGAGGAGACAGAGGAGAGAGGAACTATTCAAAGGGTGGGAGGCAAAGCAAGCACAGAAGTACCAGCAGCCTGACCCAGGGACAGGCGCGGAACCCTGGCGGGCACATGGGAAGGGGCAAGGAGACCGAGTGAGCGCGGCGAGCAGGGACGGTGCCAACCCTCGGGGAGGACGGTGCCAACCTGCCGCCACCCAGCAGAGGCCGGAAGACTCCAATTCCACTCTCCTGTCTTCTCCCCTTCCCATTTCCCCAGAATGACCACGCCCAGCCAGAGGCCGGAGGGTCAGAGACTTCGGGGTATTAAAGAGAGCAGAGGTGGGGAGATACAGAGGCAGGGGAGATGCATTTGAAGTGCAAAGAGAAAAATCTCCAGCGCAAAGATCTCTGTGTTGTGCTTCACTGTGGGGAAAAACAAAATAACCACAGAAAGGTGTGCACAGCAGCCGGGGCGCGGGCCTGGGCCAGCTCTGTGCTCCGTGTTAAACCAAACGATACCGATGATGCCACACCAAGCCTACCCACCGAAGTGCAGCCACTACAAGTCGATCACAAGACCGGGACAGAAACACGGATAAACTTCACTGAACAGGACACAGCCCGCTCTCATGCTCGGACTGGGACTCTGAAAACATGAGAAAACGCTACAGCAACGGGGCGGGAAACTTTATTTTTTCCTTTCTGAAAAATCTCCTTTCATTATTTTTATGTTATTTTTCCAGAATCACCACTTGTTAAGCATGACCTCCCAGGCTAACTACACCTCGGACAGCGGCTGTGAGCATGAAGCGGCGACGTGTGTGCCGAGCAGAGCCACCACCAGGAAGCGGCACTTACCCCAGGACGTGCCCCGAGGGGAGGGGACCACGAAATCTAGCACCATAACCTTCCTCCCCAGAATGGCGGCTTCCTAAAAACAAAACAAAAAACCAGAAAAAGAGATGTGAGGATCCTGTCATTTTCCTGACACGCCCCCAAGGTTTTCTCTCCTTTCAATAAAAACAGATTGCTTTTGTGTGATAACAACCTCTCTCCCCTGAATTAAACCAGCTATTTCAATCAAAGGGAAAATCAGATCACTGGGAAAATCAGGGAAAACCGCGTATGGTGATCCCTGGGAAAGCGATCGCGAGTGGTCCCTGGCCGTACCTTGGCACACGAGAGGCCGCCCGAGCCTCCGCCGATGACGATGAGGTCGTACTCGTAGGCTGATTCCTCCTGGAGAATCTTCTGTAACAAACCACTCTGGTGCGCCTGCGGTGTCGTGAAAACAGGGAAGAACGCGGCATGAGTTATGGTTTTAAAGCTGTTTATTTGCATCCCGTGTGCAATCAGCACGGATTTCTTTGAGAAAAAAAAATCTGAGAAATGATCTATAATCCACCTGAGCTGTGCTGTACATTCATCGGATGCTACTCAGATCAGCTCCAACACGCAAATGTGTTGTCCATTCTGAGCGATCACCTGACGGCTGGGCCTGGGCCAAAGGGACGCACCGGGTCCTGGCACTGTGTTTGTCAGGCAAGGTCATTTCCCTTCGTTTAATTGTCAACACACTATTCTCAAGAGCAATAAAACAACCAAGAATCACTTTTCAAGCTCCTCATTCAATCTGAAAACAGCCCTCACGCCGCATCAGCAATGTGTTTCACGGTCTCCCATGCACTGATCTAAACTGGAGCTGTCCCGGTGGAGCTGCCGCCCAGCGCAGGCCTCTTGCTTGGTTCCTGCGGCCATGGTCAGGGGCTGCTCTGCACCGCGTTTTCTCTTCGCGGGGCCCTCCACGTGCTCTGGAGTATCAGAGATGAGGTTACAAGGTCAGTGTGTGAGTTTGCAGGAGTTTTCTTTATGCCACGTCAGTTGCTCGATCCCAGTACCCTGCCTTTGCAAATACCAGGCCTGCACCAGGCCTTTCTGAGAAGCACAGCCGGTTCCAGGTGGGGATGGGGACTCCGCAGGTGCCACAGGGCCCACTGCAGAAGAGATGCGCAAGCTGGCTCTTGGGATATTCTGAAAAAGACTCCTGTGGCCTCCCAACAGTAAGGTGTGCTCAGGAAAACTCATCTCCTACGGCTCCGGCATCCGAGAGAACACCTTCCAGTCCCGAAATGGAATTGCGACGCCGGCATCTCCACCTGCAGTCTCTGACAGCATTTTCCCACTTAGGATCAGCAAGACCAGCACTTCAGGTGTGCAGGGGCCATCATGACAATACTTAGCACCATGCAAGCTGTGTCACAGCAGTTACTAAGTAATGATGCCGACCACAGATTAACAATACAGTCAGGGGCCAGCGCTGTGGCGCAGCAGGTTAACGCCCTGGCCTGAAGCACCGGCATCCCATTTGGGCGCCAGTTCTAGTTCCGGCTGCTCTACTTCCGATCCAGCTCTCTGCTATGGCCTGGGAAAGCAGTGGAAGATGGCCCAAGTTCTTGCGCCCCTGCACCCATGTGGGAGACCCAGAAGAAGCTCCTGGCTCCTGGCTTCGGATTGGCACAGCTCTGGCTGTTGTAGCCAATTGGGGAGTGATCCAGTGGATGGAAGAACTCTCTTTCTGCCTCTGCCTCTGCCTCTGCCTCTCCTCTCTCTGTGTAATTCTGACTTTCAAATAAATAAATCTTAAAAAAAATAATCAAATCAAATCAAACTGAAAAAAATTTTAAAAAATACAGTCAGTAATTATTTTCTCCAAAAATGTAGCTGTTATCCAAAATTTAAAATAAAATCAACCACTGGTTTCTAGCATTCGCATACACATATCAAGCACGCAAAAGAACAGAATTTTAACAAAACCATTGTAAAACAAGGGCCTTTTAAAAATCAGTATCCATTGTTACTGGTTACCACCTAACTAAAGGGCTCCTGTTCATATCTAGCATCTAGGAGTCAGTAAAAATCAGAAGGCCCGGGCCTCTGCAAAGAGCCCGAGGGTAAGCAGCCCCAGCAGGAACTGCAAGGCCCCCCGGGAAGAATGTGTGCACTGAGGCACCTTCCTGGGAGAACAGCCCTCAGCTCTCTCTCACCAGCCACTGGGCACTGTTCTCCCTCTTAGCTGGTCAAGTTCACGTTGGCAGAAAAGTTTCCCTTTAAGTAATTCCTCTCCCTTTAAGTAATCCAAAATTATCTGACACCCATTTTATCCGCTTTCAAATTTTGTAACTATTAGAAGACAAATAAATAGACTCCTAAAAGCCATTTTCTCCCCTTTTTTCAATAGTTCTTAAAGCACAATGTGAACCTCATTGCAGATTAGATAATGCTTTTAGTACCTGGAACGTCCGGTCACACCCGCCCATGTGTACTTTATTTACAAAAATATTGGGCACGGTCTTCTGATTGGTAATCTCTGACAGCATCTCCTGGACATTGGCTCCATCGTCTGAAGAATAAAACAACCAACATAAAAACACTGAAAATGACTCCAGACCTGTGAGCTGCACTGTAGTGTTCCAGTGACCTAAATGCCCACGCGTACACACCCACAGTGAGTTATGCAACTTTATGAAATGATGACTCAACAAGGGAAAACAGCCATTCTTTCAAAGGAAACTTTACCAATACCATGGGCAGGCGCTGTGGCACAGAGGGCTAAGGTACCACCAGGGATGCCCATGTCCCCTATCGGAGTGCAGGCTTGAATCCTGGCTATGCTGCTCCCAATTAGCTTCCCGCTAATGCATCCCGGGAGGCAGCAGGTGATAACTCAAGTCCTTGGGTCTCTGCCAGCCACGTGGGACATCTGGATGGCGCTGCGGCTCCTGGCTTCAGCCTAGTGCAGCCCTAACTGTTGTGAGCATCTGGGGAGTAGGCCCGCAGATGGAAGATATGCCTCTCTCTGTCTCTGTCATTCTACTTTTCAAATAAATACTTTCGAAAAATATACCTATTCCTTTTAAAATTAAACCCACCTAAATGAATACTTTGATATATAGCTCAATGACTGTGCCAAGACAAATAGCTGAGGACAAATATCAAGATAAAATCTGCTGTAACAGTAATAAGCCAGAAAACACTTCCGCAATTTTATTTTTAAAAACTCTGTATGATCAATCAAAATCCAAAACTTACCTTCCATCTCTAAAATTAAACTGAACCATGACTACTTAAGAAGACCTTAATTGGGGCTGATGCTGTGACGGAAAAGGTTAAGCTGCCATCTGCAGCACCGAAATCCCATGTAGGCACCAGTTCAAGTCCCGGCTGCTCCACTTCTGATCCAACTCCCTGAAAATGTGCTTGGGAAAGCAGCAGAAGATGGCCCAAGTCCTTGGACCCCCGGGATGTGGGAGACCTGGATAGAGTTCCTGGCTCCCTGCTTCAGATAGGTGTAGCTCCGGCCATTGCAAGTCAGAGTTACACAGAGAGAGAAGGAGAGGCAGAGAGAGAGGGGTCTTCCATCTGCTGGTTCACTCCCCAGTTGGCCGCAATGGCCTGAGCTGCACCGATCTGAAGCCAGGATCCAGGAGCTTCCTCTGGGTCTCCCACCTGGGTGCAGGGGCCCAAGGCCTTGGGCCATCTTCCACTGCTTTCCCAGGCCACAGTAGAGAGCTGGATTGGAAGCGGAACAGCTGGGACTTGAACTGGTGCCCTTATGGGATGCCGGGACCACAGGTGGTGGCCTCACCCCCTACACCACAACGCCAGCCCCGAGATATCTTCCAACTGTTGGTTCATATCCCAAATGGCATTATTACACAGAGTCTAAGTCACCCCTTAGGATGCCCACATCCCATGTCGGGGTACCTGGATTCAACTCCTGCCTCCAACTGTCTGCTAATTCACATCTTAGGAGGCATTAGGTGATGGCTCACGTACTTGGGGAGTTGTCACTCAAGACTTAGGTGTGGTTCCAGGCTCCTGGCTTTGACCTGGCCGGGCCAGGTGTTGTGAGCATTGAGGGAGTGAACCAGCAGATGGAAGGGCACTGTATGTGCTGTCACTGTGCCTTTCAGATAAATAAAGATAAACCAATAAAACTTAAACAAATAATGAAGCAGTGAGGTTCTCTGAAGGCAGAGAGACATTTTTATTCACCATGCATGAAGTGTACAATAAATATCAGATGTTTGGGTACCAAGGATTCAAAACCCAAAGATATTAACGTAGCAAAATCAGGCAACAGGAGTGAATCTTTTCCATCTACTACGGCTTAGTCTATGTTGCCACAAAGCTGGCAGATTACGTCATAAGTGCCTCACGTACTTCCAGGTTAGAATCTTGTACATCTTCCTCTCACTCCCTTCCCTCCAACATGCGAAACATAGAAACCAGAAAGTTTACGTCAATTCTTTGTCATAAAGGTTCATTCTCTGCCTGGTTGAAAGCAGACGAAAATGGCTCCTCCAACCCGAAGAGACCAGAGCAACGCAAGCAGGACAGAGAAAAGGAAAGTGGTCCTTGCTGGTGTTTACCACAGACAGCACGTACCAAAGGCTCTACTCACCGACTTGATCAAGTTCCAGGATATTATAGTCCACTCCCAAAGAAGAAAAGAGCTCTTTAACCTGTAACGAAAATTTCCCAAGTTTCACTCTCACAAAAGATCCAACAGTTAGGAATGTGGGAAGAGGGACAGCAGTGTCCAAAATAAAGCTTCCTTATGAACCTGAGTTCTAGTCTCAGGTGTTTTTCCTTTGCTCTACACGTTGTCCCAGAAGAACCTCAGCCTATTCCTTGTGCCCCCCACCCCACCTTTTAAACATCATCAGTCTCCCTTTGACTCCCAAATCTATACCATTCACCCAAGTCTCTCGTCTGAACCCAAGACGGGCACCTGGCTATCCCACACGCAGCTCACCTCCTTGCACACTGCTCTTCCTCCATGTTTCCTTTCAACCGTCCTTAAATCATTCACCCTCTTTTTAGCCACCAAACACCTACACTGGGTCCTCGCTGTCCTAACTAATGGAGATGAACCAATGAACAAGGTACACCTCTGCCCTCCGGGAGGGGGAACTAATTCACAGTTTAACCGCAGCACCATTCACCAGCTGCGAGGAAAGGCAGGGCGGCCATCTCCCAGGATGTACGCAGGCACACGGAATCCAGACTGGACAGATTCTGCATTTTAACAACTTGCAAAGCTCTGATTAGCCACCATTGCAATGCCTCTCGCTCAGATAACACTTACCCACCCCACACGAATTCCCCAGCCACCTGATTACGGGTTCATCTTCCTGCTTCCACTATCTTAATTGCAGCCACCAACACTCCCCACTGGAATTTCTCGGCGACATCCTCAGAGTTCTCTCTGCATCAGCTTTGTCCCCTCCAGTTCTGAAAACTGCAGGCGCAGTGGCCTTTTAAAACCCACTTCTCACCACATCACTAATGCCCTCAGCCCTCAAGACAGAACCCTGGCGAAGCATCCACAGCTGGTGGAAATTATTCATAAACAACTACTTAAAAGTCTCCAGACATTTCCTAAGGGGATTCAGGAAAGTAAAAACATTGAATTAACAAAGTCTACTAAATCTCAGTAAGAACTGGGAGAGTTTGGCATGGGAGGCACAGCCTGCACCCTGGCCGGCCCTGCCCTGTCCCGCCCCAGATCAGCCTGGCAGGAGCTCCACTTCGAGTGGACGTGGCCTTGAACACAGGCCCTCCGCCCCGAGCTCCCGGTCAACAGATGCCCCAGCCTTATACCCCACCATCAGCCGTGGATGACGATGGCTATGCTCCTGCCCAGCACGGCCAGCAACACAGGAGCTCTCTTCACGCACCCAGCCCCCACTCAGAGATCTAAGGAAAATATGCGGAACCTGACCAACCTCACCCCAACGCACCTGGAAGATGAGGTTCCGGGCTGGGATAGGTGACCAGCAGGACAAGAGACGATGTCCCTGTCCAGAACCCTGCTCCCGTAAAGCACAGTGTCGCTCCCAGAGAAGCAGTCTCTGTCCTCACTCCCAGTTTTGGGGCAGGGGAATGGGCAGACCCTAAGTCAGTTCGAGGGACATTCAAGCCTAAAGGTACTCCTGAAAATAACGGGGTTCCGTGGAAGCAACGCAGAGGCAGCTTGGGGACCCCTTTGGAGCTGGGCCGCCAGAGAAAACAAGGGAAGGGCACAGCACAGCCCTCCCCGGCTTCCCTCGGAAACCAGCCTGCAAAGGGCCTCAGATTTCAGTGCATCGGTGTGGGGCGATTTACACCCAAGGCATTGCTAGAAATACCAGTAATCGGCTTGCAGTTCGTGGGGCCTACGACGCGGATGTGGGGCCGGGAGAGACACAGTCAACATCCACACCCAGGGAAGGGCCTGGCCCGAGCCCCTGCCACTCCAGGGCCGCTGTGCAAACTCAACGCTGCACCTGAGTGGCGTCATCTTGGGGAGAAACTAAGCTTCCCTAAAGTAACCCAGCCCTTCCGGTGTAGGGACATAAACAAGCAAACGCAGTACCCAAAGGTACTAAAATTTATCACGCAAAATGCCCGATTTTCAACAACAACAAAACGCACGGCCAAAGAAACACAAAGTGTAACCTATCCCCAGGAAAACAGGAATAGAAACCTCCTCTGAGAGTGAAGGCCTGCTACTTAACAAAGCAGCCATCGCTAATAAGTGAGTGCACAGAACTAAAGGAGACTGTGTTGAACAAGAGGAAGGAAGTACGACACAACCTATCATCCAAAAGAAAACCTTAGCAGAAAGAAATGTAAAATAAAAAAAATGAAAAAAAAAAAAAAGATGCCATTCAGGATGCTCCTATTTCAGAAAGCCTGGCTCAAGCCCTGGTCCTACCTCCAATCCCAGTTTCCTATTAATGCTCACTCTGGGAGGCAGCAGGTGACGGATCAAGGACTTGGGCCCCTGACACCCGTGTGGGAGCCCTGCATGGAGCTCCCAGCCGCTGGCTTGGGCCTGACCTAACTCCAGCTGGTGCCGACATCTGGGAAGTGAACCAGTGGGTGAGAGCTCTTCCTTTGCCTCTCTCTGTCTCTCTGCCCATCAGAGAAAAATTAATTAATTAAGTAACAGAAATCTTGGGGGTTTTACTCACCCTCACACCACTCCCTCCTCCATGATCAAGGAGGCAGCCACCTGGGCCCCACTCCCTCCCACAAAGGAGGGAGAGCAGAGAGGCCCGAACATCCTAACACCCAGCAAACTGGGACCAAAGGACACTGCCTCAGCATACTGAAACCACAAATGAAAAAGCCCACAGCTCACATCGCTCCTGAGGGTCAAAGACTGCCAAGCGTTCTCTCTGAGATGGGGCAGAAGACAAGGCGACCAGCTTCCAGCACTTCTGTGCAACACAGGACTGGGGGTCCCAGCCGGAACAGGAAGGCAGGAAAGTCAGTAAAATTCACTCTGTCCACAGGCAATATGATCCTCAGTGTGGAAAACTCTAACGATTCCACACACACACACACACACACACACCAGCCGTTAAAATAAACACATTTGGCAAAAGTTGCAGGGTACAAAAATCAAGACACAAAAACCAGCTGCTTTTCTACATCTTAACAATAAACAATCCAAACAGAAAATCAGAAAGAGAATTTCATTTGCAACAGCAGGAGAATTAAGGATAAACAACCAAGTAAGTGAGACTCCCACCGCAAACTACAAAATGTTGCTGGAAGAAATTAAAGACACCGTTAAACAGGTGTTACATGTTCACGAACTGGAAGACTTTGTATCTGTAATGAATCAACAGTACCGGAAGCAACCTACAGATCCAAATCAGTCCCTGTGAAAATCCCAACGCCAGGTGCTGGAGAGCATGTGGAGAAACTGGACCCTCACATACTGCTGATGGGAAGGTAAAACCTCACATACTGCTGATGGGAAGGTAAAACTGTGCAGCCACCAAGGAAAACAGAATGATGGCAGGAATCTCTTGTGATCCAGCAACTCTATCTCTAGATGTAGACCTAAATTAATTGGAAGCAAGGACTCAAACTGATATTAGTATGCGTATGTCCACAGTGGCATTATTCACAACAGCCCCCAAAGTGGAAGCAGCCCAAGTGTCCCTTTATGGATGAACAGAGAAGCCAAACTATATATACAGACAGTGGCCTATGACTCAGCCTCGAAAGGGAAGAAAATTCTGACACATGCTACAACATGGGTGCACCCTGAGTTTGAGCACGTTATGCTAAGTGAAATAAGGCAGGCATCAAAGGGCAAACGTGGTATGATTCTGCAGCTATGTGGTACCTGAAGCTGTCAAATCAACAGACAGAAAGCAGCAAGCTGGTCTCCAGGGACCGGACAGGAGGCCGTGAGGAGCTGCTGGTTGGTGGGTGCAGTTTCCAGCCATCGTCTTCACTGTTGAGTTGAGGTCATTACCTCTTAGCTGTGCTTCACCTGTGGTTTCCCAACTGCGGCTGCCTCTACACTCACTCTATTTTCCTACTACACTCAGATTTCAATCACGAGTCAGACCCTGCTCACAAGTCTAAGATGACTTCTCTTTGCTGTATCCTTAAGCCTGCATTTATCATCAATTCAAATTCCAGACTAAACTTCCATCCATTTTCCAATGAATTCACCTGCTCCCCTGCCACAAAGCCCATGTTCAGTCACACTATCTCCCTTTTATCATCTCCTATCTTTGCTTTTACTAATCCCTTAGCTGGATGCCCTTCCTTACCCAAATACATCCAACGATGCACAGTCCAGCTTACGTATCATTTTCTTTTCTTTCTTTATTTCTTTCTTTCTTTTTTTTTGTTTTGACAGGCAGAGTGGACAGTGAGAGAGAGAGAGAGACAGAGAGAAAGGTCTTCCTTTGCCGTTGGTTCACCCTCCAAAGGCCACCGTGGCCGGCGCGCTGCGGCCAGCGCACCGCGCTGATCTGAAGCCAGGAGCCAGGTGCTTCTCCTGGTCTCCCATGCGGGTGCAGGGCCCAAGCACTTGGGCCATCCTCCACTGCACTCCCTGGCCACAGCAGAGAGCTGGCCTGGAAGAGGGGCAACCGGGACAGAATCCGGCGCCCCGACCGGGACTAGAACCCGGTGTGCTGGCGCCGCAAGGCGGAGGATTAGCCTAGTGAGCCGCGGCGCCGGCTACATATAATTTTCTTACATGGTTCTGATCCTCCGTGAAAACCAGTTTTATCCCTCACCCCTGCTGGTTTTTCCTACGTTCTTCTTTCTGCACACGAGAGCCCAGGAGGCTAGACCAAGCTTCATTCACATTTGTGTCCCTATGACAGATGCTGCATCCAACGACACTTGCTGAATGACACGAGCAGCCAAAGACCCAATATCACCTTCTGACTGTGAGAGTAAGGTCCTATCTGGAATGCACTGTTTAAGGTTTTTTATTTACGAGGATTGTGGGTGTCTGAGTCCGTTTCGTGTTGCTACACCAGTAAACCCAAGGCTGGGTACCAGATAAAGGTCTAGAGATTGAAGGGCATAGTACCAGTACATGACAGCCCCCTGACAGGTGGCACCATAATGGTGGGAGATCACACGACAAGCAAGAGAGAAAGCCGAGACAACCGTTCTCGCTTGATGGCACTCGTTCTCAGCAGAGATCAGCATTGATCCCGTGCAGGCTGGTGCCCAGGACCTACCCACCTTCCCCCAAAGCCCCACGTCTCGACACTGCTGCACCGGGAACCAACCTCGGCGACACACTCAACCCGCATCCAAATCACAGCAGTGAGCACACACCACACAGCCCGCTCAGAGAGTGGTCACATACAAAGAAATACGTGGAGGAAAGCAGGCTGCCCCGCCAGCCAAGAAGAACACCCAGGGAGGTGCTGGAAGGTCTGCTGTCCAGGCAGAAGCAGATATCTTAACGCCACCCGCTGGCACAAGGCTCGCCCCCAAGACAAGTACGGAGGGCAAACGTTTGTCTTTAAAAAATCCAGTCATCAGAGCTGTCAAATTATGTAATGGGACTACGTTATCGGAAGTGCTGACACACGCGGGATGGAGAAGCATGTGTCCTAGGACTTTCTGTATCAGCAGAGGTTCGACTAGAATGATTAAGACTATTTATGTATTCAACACAGTATGTGCCTAATACAGTGATTTTTCAGTGGACGGACACGTCTCATCTCTTGGCAATTCTATAAAGGACAGCTTTTTTTCCCCCAGAAGATCAATTTAGTATATATTAAGTAAAGATTTCAACAGATTGCACCCACACAGAAACACAAAGTGAAAAATACTGTTTGAGTACTAGTTATAGCATTAAATCACAATGTACAACACATTAAGGACCGAGATCCTACATGAGGAGTAAGTACACAGTGACTCCTGTAAATACAACTAGAAGGTGGGGCCGCCGCTGTGGTGTACTGGGTAAAGCCGTCACCTGCAGTGCTGGCATCCCATATGGGCACCAGTTTGAGTTCCAGCAGCTCCACTTCCAATCCAGCTCTCTGCTATGGCCTGGGAAAGCAGTGGAGGCTCCTGGCTCCTAGCTCCTGGCTCCTGGCTTTGGATGTGCACAGCTCCGGCCGTTGCAGCCAATTGAGGAGTGAACCAGTGGATGGATGGAAGACCTCTCTCTCTCTGTAACTCCCTCTGTATCTCCCTCTCTCTGTAACTCTATTTAAAAAATTAAAATGTGCATGCATGAATCCGTGTCTCGGAGTAAAGTCCAAATATGAAACTACAGCCTATAATTTCCTGAGCTTAACACAACGTTTGTATCCGTCCTCAGACTTCCTAATTACATGAAACAAATTTCAAAACTCCGATGGTTCCCACCTTGCAGGTGGGATTCTCTGCCAAAGGTTCATTTCCAACCGCGTTGTCTTTAAACCCGAGTACATTTGTCCAGACCAGGCCGGGCCCCCTGCTGGCCCCGAGAGGCCAAGGAAACGTGCCACGAGCCTGAGGTCACCCACGACCTCCCTGGCCACTGACGGGCGCAGTCAAGGCCCCTGGACAGCAGCCGAGGAGCGGAGTAAAACTTACCGGCGCCTCTCCCTCCACCCCGTGCCCATGCCGCAAGGAGGGACGGGGCGAGCTGGCGGGCCAGGCCTGGACTGTCCGACCGAGCCCAGGGGCCTAGCAGGCGGACTCCGCCGCGTTCCCGCCCCACGCACTCGGGAACCCGGGGCCGCAACCCGGGCGGGAGGCCCCCAGGGAGGGGCCCTGCGCCCAGGGAGGCCCGCCCGGCCCCCGGCCGCCTACCCGCGCGCTGTGCGGGCAGTAGCTCTTGCTGAAGATCATCACCCGGTTGCCCTCGATGAGCTCCAGGAGGCGGCGCCGCAGCTCCTCGCGAGCCTCGGAAGACGGCCGGCTGGTGCCGGGGGACAGCACGCGGGCGCGGCGCCCCGGAGGCGAGGACGTGGGCATGCCGCGGACGCTGTCCAGACGGCGGTTGGGCGAGACGCCCACCCTCCCTGGCCCGGGAGAGGCCAGCGCCCGCGACGGCGGTGGCGGAGGCGGCGGCGGCGGCGGAGGCGGCTCCAGGGCGTCGACTTCGCTCCCGGCCAGGCCGGGGCTACTCAGGAGTTGAGGCGAGGGCGATCGCTGAGGCGCGGTGCCGGGACTGCGGCTGAGGGGCCGTGATAGCTGCCCACGCTGTCCACGCCCCGCACTGGCCAAGAGCCGCGCGCCGGAACCGCCCCGCCCCCTTACCCCGCCCTTTGCCCCGCCCCTCCCCGGCGCTCCCCGCCCCCTGACCGCGTCCCGCCCCCTTGCACCGCCCCGCCCCCGGCGCTCCCCGCCCCCTTACCGCGTCCCGCCCCCGGCGTCCCGCCCCCTTGCGCCGCCCCGCCTACCCGGAGCCGCCCCGCCCCCTGCGATCCCCGCCACCTGAGCCGCTGCGCCCCCGACACCACCAGGCTCCCTCACGCCACACCCTCTCCCCTGGCACCGCCCCGTCCTTTGCACGGCCCCTCCCAGCCCCCCAGTACCCCTTGCCCGCTTGCACCGCCCCGCCCCCGGCACTCCCCGCCCCCTTGTGCTACCCCACCCCCTAGCACCGCCCCGCACCTGACCCCCCCACCCCCTCGTGCCGCCTCGCCCTGGCACCGCCCGGCCCACGCCGCTCCCTCGCGCCACACCCCCGCCCCCGGCACCGCCCCGCCCCCGGCACCGCCCCGCCCCCGCCCCTCGTGCCGCCTGCTCCTGACGACCCCGCCTCCGACCCCGCCCCGCCCCTCGTTCCCCCTTGCCCATGGCTCCGCCCCCGCCTGGGCCCCGCCCCCTGGCGCGCCGCGCTGGGGAGAGGCCGCCCGGGCGCCGCCCACTTGCTAACCGCCCTGCGGGTCGCCAGAGAGCGCATCTTGAGACTGCCGAGTCCCCGTGACGCCGCCTAGAGGTGGCCTCTGTGCGATGCCCTCCACTCCAGGTGGTCGTCAGGCCCCAATCTACCTCCGTATTGGGGAACTTTACCCTTCTCAGGTGACAAGTTTACTTCCTGCCGGGGGATGAGCAGTACAAGTTTCAGACGCGGTCCCTGCGCTGTGTCCCGCCCCCGACCCGTTCCCTACCGCGCTGGGAGGCTGCGGCCACCCTCAGGAGGGACCCTGGCCCGTGGTCTCCGGCCCGGGGGGAAGCAGCGGCGCCCTCAGGGCTGTGCTCAGCTTCAAGGCCCTGCTGCCCCATGCCACAGGCGAGAAAACGGAGGCGGAGGAGGACTGACACGGGGCGGGGGCCGCACTTTTGCTAAAACTAATACTGTACTCTCCATTCTTTTGGTAGATTTTGAGGACACGAAGAAAGTAGAACTGACCTTATCATCTTTATACTTTTTTTTTTTTTGCAAATGATGAGTTCTTTATAAAACTATGAATTTTCCTCTATGTACTGCGTTGACTCCCCTCGCAGTTTTTATGTTACTTCTCATTGTCATTTATTTATAAGTAGCTTTTAATAAACGTTTTTAAACCCGTTTTAAAATTTTAATTGGTTTTAACTGTCCCTTTAATGTTGCAGTTATATACAAGGCATACAACATCTCCAAATGGAGAAGACTTTGTATCGCTGTTGGTGCTGCTCCTTTACTGCAAAGTTTAAAATGCGTTATAATGGGCGGCGCGGTGGTGTAGTGGGCAAAGCTGACACCTGCAGTGCTGGCATCCCATATGAGCACTGGTTCGAGTTCCGGGTGCTCCACTTCTGATCCAGCCCTATGCTATGGCCTGGGAAAACAGTAGAAGATGGCCCAAGTCCTTGGGCCCCTGCACCAACATGGGAGACCAGGAAGAAGCTCCTGGCTTCTGGCTTCGGATCACTGTAGCTCCAGCCATTGCGGCCATTTGGGGAGTGAACCAGCAGATAGAAGACTCTCTCTCTCTCTCTCTCTCTCTCTGTGTGTGTAACTCTGACTTTCAAGTAAATAAATAAATCTTTTTAAAAATAAAATGCATTATAGACCAAAAATATGGCTTCTCTGGTCATGAGGATCTCAAGTATTTGAGGAATGCCTTCCCCTTGCTCCAGTTGATTTCAGAGTCTTATGCGTGAGCCACATCTAAGTCGACCAGTCCCTGTCATTTCCCTCATGGCACCAATTGGTCCAAGCATGGTCACAGGACGTAGGACGGTCTGTGAAAAATCTAGCCCAGGAGAGATACTTTGTTAGTGAGGAAATATTGGATTCCAGTTGCTACTGCCAGCATTTGACCACGAGGAGAGACTGCATGTAGTAGAACAAATGAGCTGAGAGCGAGGTTGGGAGAGAGAAAAACTTGTATCTCCAGGAGCATCACTGAACTCCCGGATCAGACCTCACTGAACACTGCTGTCTCTGGGCTGTTGTGGTCCAGTGAAGGCCCTTCTTTTTTTTTTTTAAGATTTTATATGAGAGGGAGGGGGAGGGGGTTTCATCTGCTGGCTCACTCCCCAAATGGCAGCAATGGCCAGAACTATGCTGATCCAAAGCTAGGAGCCAGGAGCTTCTTCCGGGTCTCCCACGCAGGTTGCAGGGGCCCCAGGACTTGAGCCATCTTCTACTGCTTTCCCAGGCCATAGCAGAGAGCTGGATCGGAAGAGGAGCAGCCGGGACTTGAACCGGCGCCCACACGGAAGGTGGAGGCTTAGCACAGCGCTGGCGCCTGCCCTTCATTGTCTAAGCCAGCTCTAGGTGTGTTTGCTGTTACTTGCAGCAAAAGCATTACTAACAAATAAAAACATTCCAAGGTTGTTAAGCACAGAGAAATTGATGACTCACTCTCTTAATGGATTAAGTCTTTGCCATGAAATGCCTTCTTTGTCCTACTTTTTACCCTTACATTCTATCTTTATCAAGTATCACTGTGGCCTGCTTTTGTTAATATTTGCATATATATCTTCTTCATTCTTTTCAGCAATGTTTATCTTTTTCTTCCATGTGTACCTCTTAGGACAGGAGATAGTCTAATTCATAATTTCTTATCCCTTAAAAGTTCTTAATTGATGACAGATTCCAGAAATCGTATGTTGGAGCCAGAGGCTGTTGCCACAGAAGCAGGTTTGTGGTTGCCTTGGGCTGTGGGGGTAGACAGGACATTGTGGGGGTGGAGGGTGGGGAGGGATTAGAGAGTAATGGCTAAGGGCTCATTGCTCATTGCTATGAGTGGTAAGTGTGTTCTAAAGTTAATTGTGGTGTTTGGTGCACAACTCTGTGAATATACTAACAGCCACTGAATTGTACAGTTTACATGGGAATGGTAAGTGAATAATTCCTTGGAGCTGTTAAAAAAGATTTTGAATAAGTACAACAAGAATAGGCTGCTATGAAAAAGAGCCAGGAAAAACTCTTATGAATGAATTTGAAGTATTATTTCCAAAATGTATTCACATATATATGAAAAAATTATATTTGTACAAAAATAACTGTAATCACACATGTGTGTGCTTGTGTCTGTGTCTGAAGGTATCTCACTGTGGCATAGCAGGTAAAGCCACCACCTGCAGTGCCGGCATCCCTTATGGGCTCCGGTTTGAGACCCAGCTGCTCCACTTCCAATCCAGCTCTCTGCTATGGCCTGGGAAAGCAGTAGAAGATGGCCCAAGTGCTTGGGCGCCTGCACCTGCATGGGAGGCCAGGAAGAAGCTCCTGGCTCCTGGCTTTGACCTGGCCCAGCTCTGGCCATTGTGGCCATTTGTGGAGTGAACCAGCAGATGGAAGACCTCTCTCTCTCTCTCTCTCTTTGTCTCTGTCTCTGTCTCTGCCTCTCTGTAACTCTGCATTTCAAATAAATAAATAAATCTTTTTTAAAAAAATATCACAATATGGAACAGAAAGGTGAAAAGGCAGAGAATGTGGAAGGAACTCAGAAAATCAATCCATGAGTGCCAGGTGGGACCTGTCCATTCGGTGTCCCAGAGCTGTTGTAGGCGGGAATACAGGCTAAAATTGATCAGGTTTGTGAGCTGGAATACCACGCCCCCGTGTGACCTCATGCCCCTACCTGGCCACACCTGTGTGCCCACCTGCCAATCAGGGTAATTAACCACTCCCCTTTGGAAGCGGACTCGAGGCCTGGAACATGGTGGGCCCAGCCCTTTTTGGCCCTTTTTTTGGTCTTTTGCCTCTTTCATCTCTGTGCCTCCAGTGTTAGGAAACTGGCGCAGTTTTATCTATGGCGCAATCTGCACCCTGATTTACATCCTATTCCCCGGTTCCCGCTGCCATTGCTGAAAGCCAGGTGGCCACATGGCCCAACCACCGGTGCCAAGCTCCACCCCCGTCCTAATGGGATTCGCTGCTCCTGCTTCCCGGCACGCCCTCCGGCAAAGTTTTAAAAGGGCCTGTTTCTGAACACTTGGCTCTTGGCTCCTCTCGTCTGCACTCCTCTCTTCCTCCCGTCTCTCTCCTCTCTCTCCTCTCTCTTGTCTCCTCGCTAGCTCCTTTCCTCTCTGTTTCTCTCTTACAGTCTCCTTCTCTCCCTTTCCTCCCTTCTTCGTCCCACCCCTCCGGTCTGCTGCAGTTTCCCCAATAAACCTTTTCCCTCACTCCGGTGTTTGGTGTGTTTTGTGACGGCCTAACAGAAATACATAACATCCGGGCCACCTGCCCCATGCTTCCTGGCCTGCATGTTCCTCCACGTGGCTGGCTCCTGGTACTCGGTATGAACCCGGATTTCCCTCTTCTAGATAAGGTCCTCACTCTCCTGTGCATTTCTCCCACTGAATAAAAAACTTAAAACTTCTCATGCTGCCTCCTTCATTTATCCCAGAATTCTTCTCTGAATATTGGGCAAGAACCCACGATGCTTATGTATTAATAAGCACCTGGTAATATAATTGTCACCCCATACTCCGATATCCAAGCCAGTGACGAATCCTTAGCTGAGGGTGAGCAGCACACACTGTGGTCGGGGAGAAGCAGGCGCTGGGCTTGGGAACCCACAGCCTGCAGGGGGCTGAGTCACGAGTGTGGAGCAACCGCAACGCTTATGCGGACTCTGTGCGTCGTCGGGGCAGGGACATTCATGAATTTTCTGGGTCTGCCGAATGCTTGGAATCTGGGAGCTCCCTTTTTGTCCTTTGTGGTGGTTGGCACTGTCGTGGCACTGCTGGGTGTGTCCGCACAGAGACTACATTGAGAGGAGGTTGGTGAGGTTCTGAAGGCAGCCCAGGCAGCTGCACTGGAGTGGGAGCTGTTGAGGACAAGGCATCCTGCTCCCAAACAGAAACAGCGTTGGGGTGGGGGTGAACACTTAACTAGGCCACGCAGGTACCAAAAGTACGCTAGGAGCCCCAAAAGCAGAGGACAGAGAAAGGGGGCCAGAAACAGTGAAATAACAAGACAATTTCCCAAAACCGAAGCACATAGGGCTTCGTGCGGTGAGCAGGCAGGCAGCCAGTGAGCACAGAGGAGCTGAGACTGCCAGCGGCCTGTGGGCTGCAGCCCAGCACCACGCAGACCCCGCCCCTCCCGGGCTGCTCCCACGTGGCGGCAGACTCAGCACAGCCATTCCCCATCAAGCACCTGCGCCTCACTTCCCATCAGGCGCTAGACACCACGATGACCACGTGTACTGCAGCCCCATCCAAAACCCTGCCCATTTGAATATTCAATGAGGGCAGCACCTCCGCCCTTTAAAGGGGTGGCCGCACCCATGGTGGGGGAAGCGGCTTCCTTCCTGGAGACACCTTGCCTGCACTCACAGCTGAAAGTGCACTATCCCTTTAAATAAACCCCGCTTTCCTGTGCACCTGATGCCTCCTGCGTGGATTCGTTGAAGGCCCAGCCAGGACCTCTGTTGTCCACACCATTGAGTTTAAAGAATTTAGTGTAGCTCCCTGCTTATGCCCCTGGGAAGGCAGCCAAAGGTGGTCCAAGTACCTGGGCCTCTGCGGCCCATGGAGGAGACCTGCATAAGCTCTTGGCTTCAAGTCTGAGCCAGCACCAGTCACTGCGGCCATCTGGGAAGTGAACCAGCAGGGGGAGGATCTCTCTCTGTGTCTTTCCCTCTCTCTCTATAACTGACTTTCAAATAAGTAATTTAAAAAGAAAAGACATGTTCAGACGTGGAAGGACTCAGGTTCACCTAGCGCACAACATTGCCCAGGAAGTCACCTAAGACGTTCTTCACCCACATGAGGGGTGGCGCTCCACAAGGAAAGACCGGGTCCGTCCTAGGAGGGTAGAGAAGGGAAGCCCTTGACTGACAGCGATCCTAGAGAGGGCTCAGCCCAAAGGGAAGGAGGGAAATGTCCAAGAAAAACGCAGAGGTTGTCCAGCAGCCCCCTAGCAGCCTCTCACGCCTTGGGGTGCAGGTCCACTAAGCCGGGTCCATCTTCTGTTCACTCCCAGGGTCCAGAAAGGTCCCTTCCTGCCTGGCTGCTTTCCTAGCCCTGAGCGCCACAGGTACAGGTCACCCGCGGCTGGCTGACCGCACCTCTGCTGAGTGGCTTGACTGAATTCAGCTGGGCTCTCGAGCATGTCGGGAAGCTGGCCGGCTCCCTCGGCTCCAGGTCTCCCGTGCTACAGCACCGTGGTGGCCCAGACGTCCAAGAGAAAGGCAACACCCAGATCTCTGGGGCCTGGCTTCAGAAGCAGAACCGCCACCTGCTGTCAATCAAAGTCAGTCACAAGGTCACGTCTCGATGGGAGGCGCTTCACGGTCGCATCTCTGAGGCCACGGGTCGGACCCAGCGCTGCAGGACTGGGGCTACTTTTGTCATCAGTGCACCACGGAGAAGAAAGGAGTTTTAAAGGTGTGTCTCTTCCCATGTGAGGTTGCTTTTCTCTTCTTGGGTGACCTGGGCACGAATGGACCGCTTTCCAGATCAGAACTGTACACCTCCCCGTGGGTGTCAGACACCGCGGCGCTTGCTACGGAGAAGCCTCGGAGGGATCGCAGCGCGCTCCGCCCAGCCCAGAGAAGCCCGCAGCGGGGAGCCGCGTTCAACCCCGGAGCAAAGCTGGAGGCGGGATCCGCCCTCCCACTCCGACACCTGGGGGCAGCAGAGGGCTCGGACGGATGCTCCAGAGACGGCTTCGCTAGCAGCCACCTTCCCGCCCCCCTCGCTGGAGCTGATCTTTCCAGAAACCAGCCATGGAGGTTCCGAGGGTAATGGAAGTGCCTGCTCAGGCGGAAACTTAGAATTATGCCAGCTGCTGCTCTGTCTACAAATGGAGACCTTAAGTCACCTTGGAACAGATTTGCCTTATTATCTCTGGAGTCTCCTTAAGTTATATAAATGGAAGGCAGGTCGGCTCCGCTGTTTTCGAGAACAGGTGCAAAAGGGACCTTGGCTTTCTTTGGCTTGGAGATGCCTGCCCCTGTCGACAGGGAGTCCTTGATGTTCAATGCTAAGGAGGAGGCGGCCGCGGCAATCTGCTCCAGGACCCAAAGCCTTCTGGGAAACAGGGGTTGGGGATTCCGAGCCCCTCTTTTATAGGAACCTGACCCTCTCAGGTCTCCCCTGAGGCTCCCGGCAGGAAAATGAGCCTCGGCCTCTGGGTTCTACAGAAAGCTCTGCAGAGAGGGGCAGTCCCGGAAATGCCTGTGGGCACAGCCCTGGCGGTCCAGTGAGCAGTTTGGGCTGGCAGGGTCGCAAGCCCAGGAGGCGGAATGTTTCAAACTGGAGCAAGTAGGGCTGAAAGCAAAACCCGAGACGAGCGCAGCCGGCCTCTCTGCGTGGTGACTCGGTTCGGCGGTTTGCATTCGGACTGGGGCTGGTAGTTCAGCCGGTCTTGCACGGGGTGGGGGTCGGGGGGCTCTGACCCGGTCCCGGGATCTCCTAGAGCTAAAGCGGGGCCTGTCCTTCTGCTGCAGCCCCTAATTATCTCTCTGCTCTCCCAGGGCCGAGCACAGGGTGTGGCATCATCAGAGGATGCATGCTGAATTCAATGCGTGCCGAAGCTTTCAGCAGAGTGGCCCCAGCAGGGGTGCGCTGGGAGGGCGCCGCTTTGCTGGGCAGGAGGCCCCGTGGGCAGGACGCGGGGTTCCTCGGCGTGCGTTCCCCACGGCGGCCGCGAGGTGGCACCGGCGCCCCTCGGGAAGCAAACAATGCGGCGGTCTCCTTTCCACCCGCCCGGCCGCGGCCGCCCGCTGACCCGTGCACGCGACCGGGAAGCGGCCACGCGCCTCCTGGCCACGGCCGGTCGGCTCCCCGCGGGCACCGGGCGCCACCGCGCAGGTCAGCCTTGCCCACAGAGGCTCCCGGGGGAGCTGGGTTTCAGTGGCCGGGGTCCCCCTTGATTTCCTGGTGAACAGAAAGGGGACGGGGACTATTCCGTGACCAGGGCCGAGAGAACACGCGCCGCGGAACAAAAAGGGTTGGAGCGTGAGAAATGCGCGCCGTGGACACGGCGGCGAGGGTTGGGCCGGTTCCTGGCCTGCTCCGCAGTTTCCTGCTGCTGGCGAGAGAACCGGCGGAACCGGCGGCCGGTAGAGCGCTCCATGCCCCACCCCCCACCCCCATTCTTAGAAGGTGACCTTGTGACAAAGGTGTGCTGAGCCTTTGCCATCTCTGGCCTCGCTGACGCCTCTCCAGGGCCCTCGGATTCTTTCTCGGCGCCTGTGCTTATCCCCATTTGACAGACAAAGAAACTGAGGCCCAACGCATTGGGACTTGGAGGAGCCCACAGTGGTCAAGAGGGACGCAGAAATGCAAGTGAGGAGAGACAAGAGACGCTGGAGGTGGGTGGGATACAGAGAGGGAGAGCGGGAGAGGCCAGGAGCCTGCAGGGACAATGCGGGACCACTTCCACAGCTGGGGACAGGAAGCCTCTCAGGGACCAAAGGAGCAGCAGAGGTCAGCCTCGGTGCCCTTTGGGGATACGGTTTGCCCCAACGTCTCTGTCTCCGCCCCTTCTCTACCGGCCCCCACCGACCCCTGGAAATGGCTGGAGAGGTGCACACGGGTTGCAGCCTGGGTTCCCAGGACGAGTAACCGCAATAGAAGGTATCCTTGAGGCAGCCTCCTGTCTGCGCGCCTGTCCAGCCGTGGGCAGCTCGCCATAGCTCCCGACTTCCTAGCAGCACCTACCTCTGCAACGGGACCAGCAGGGGACAGAGGGGGCTGAGGTGCTGCAGGGTCCCACCCAAGGTTCCATCTCCCGGGCGGTCACTTCCCTCCCCTTCTGTCCCAGGGACTGCCTAATGGCCCCATAAAACTGGGGCCGGTGTGTTGGCCTCCCGGATTCGGTTCCTGTTCACTTGCAGGAAATCATTTCAGCTAGGGGCATCTATTTCATTCCTCCACGGCAGAGGCGTCGGCTGCTACTCACAGATGCAGAGACGTCGTTGCCGGAGCTGCAGCTGGCTTCTGCGTGTTCCAGTGTCTGACAACAGCGCCGACATTGGGAGTCCTTTTGGAGAGCAGTCATTGTGGATTATTAAACTCCGGGTGGTTTTATTTACATCTTTCTTTGTCGTGCAACATTATTTCCGCAGCTCCTCCTTAAGCTGTGATGTATGGAGCAGGTGAGGAGTTTCCGAGAGGAGATATGCCTTAGCCTTTCTTCTTTTTTAAGGGCTACAAGAATTAGTGTCTAAATAAAATCAACCAACAGGAAAGCGTGCATACTGCTGCTTTATGAATCTGACAGATGCTGGTAACGGGCAGCAAACCTGTAGAATAGAAAACCTATAAAACAGGCCTCAGAGCACCTCTCTCTTGTCAAGTTACCATGAAGGATATCTACAGGCTTGCGGAGAAAAAATCAACCAGTGGGGGAGTGGGGGAGTTTCTTAGGTCTGGCAGACAAGATGTTTATAATACACACAAGAATGAAATCCTAAATTGCAAACGTATCCAGGATGGGCTTGGAGGCAGATCTGGAATTTGCTTGACTTACAAAGTCTGTGAACCCGGGATTATCCTGTTCTTATCCTAGTCCTAGGGAATCAAAAGACACAAGGCTTTTCTTGCAGGGAAGAAAGACCGGTGGGATTTCAAGACACCAACCCCCACCCCACCCCCCCCTCAGGCGTGGGGTTAGGGCTGGAAGCTTTTATCTGTCCCACCTAAGCCTTTGGACCAACCCAAGGTGTTCACACCGCATCCCCCAGTGGCTCCGCAGGGTCAGCCATGGCCACAGGAACCACCTGGACAGACCCAGCAGCCGGCCACACTCACCCGTGTCCTTGTCGGTTCTTCACCAAGGAAGGCGCGGTTCCTTTCTCTCCCGTGCCAGTTCCGCACCTTGGATTGGTCAGTTAATCTTATTTTCTTGTCTCAATCTTTGCCATATTCAAAGGCTGTTGACATTTCCTGGCCTCCTCTTCCTCTTTCCCGGTCCCCACCAGGGAGGACGCCTCTCCCAGCTTTGACTCATAAGGGCTCATCAAAGAATCCGTCAAGGGGCCCCCGAAACAACCTGTAAATGAAGGTTGGATGCTTTATGGTTCTGGAGCAGAAAGGGGGCCTAGGAGAGGGAAGAGGAAGGAGGGAGGAAGGGGAGAGATGGGCGGGGCCGTAACCACACACACCAAAGTGAGCACCTCTGAACCGTCTCCACGGCAGCACCAGTACTGCTAGCTGCTCCAGCCTGTTTGCAAATCTGCGAACTGAGTTGAGAATCTAAGCATGAGTAATCAGAAAGTCTTTCCACCATGTTCTCTGAATAGTAACACTAGGAAAGACAGTCGCCAAATCCAATCATCAACAACAAAAATGTATCTGAGAAATCAGATTTAATAGAGAAAGCAGAATAGGAATTGAGAACTTTGAATAAGTATAATTAGTGGCTTCAGAGAGAAGACTTTTTTTTTTAAAGGATACTGAAAAGTTGACTGCTAAGTTAGGGAAAACAAGCTTGACAGGTGGACTGAACAGGGAATGCACGCAGCTGAAGAGCGAGTCGGTGATCTGAAGACGAGCTGAGGGCGTATCTCGGAACACGATGCGACAGCACAAGGAGCACGGAGCACAGGATGAAAGCAAAGGGCCGGGCAAGGGGGAGAAACTGCAACAGCCATCAAATGGGAGTTGCAGGACGAGAGAAGAGAGGGCAGGGGGTGTTCGAGAAGTCACAGAGGAAATTGTCTCTACCTACAAGAAATGCATGGGTGCTGGGATTGGCAGGGCCCCTCAGGAGACTTCCAGGATCGCTGAGCCAGAGCCTCTGCGTTCTGCGTGCCAGTCACTTGGAACCTGGGATTCTGCATGAGCCTACGATGCAGCCGTCACTCGTGAGAAGGGCAAAGGAGAGACGCTTCCGGGCAGGAAAGCACCTGCACTTTCTAAAATAAACAGTAAGAAGTGTTCTCCCGCAAGAAGGAAAAATGACGACGTGCACACAAGCAAAAGAGAAGGAGTTCCAGAAACAATGCTGATCAAATAAAACCATAAAAGTCATTTGTAAAGAGCGCGTAAGCTGTGACTATTGTGGGTAAGAAACTTTAAATGATAATGTGGGTATGCTACTTGGAAAACTGACAGCATCACAAATGCTAGATTCACTTGAGCCTGTGGATTCAACCAACCAAGGATGGAAAATCTTCAGAAAAAAAAAAACTGTGTGTACTCAACATATACAGATTTTTTCCTTGTCACCATTCACTAAAAAAATTCAGTATAACACTACTCACATGGCATTTACATTGTTTTAGGTATTATATTAGAGGTGTCTAAAGACATTTTAAAGTTTATGGGAGGAATTATGCAGGTTGTGGGCAAATACTATCCCATTTTATATGAGGGCCTGGAGAGTCTGGGGGTTTTGGTATCCAAGGGGTGAAGCTTTGAAGAAATCCCCTCTGGATACCAAGGGAGACTGTATACACACACCATCCTGTTCCAAAAGGCAGGCATAGGTGTTTATGCCAAAAAACACAAGAAAATACCTTGTGAAATAGTCATAAGATAGAATAGGACAGAAGACAAGGAATGTACGGCTGTGGTTGGGTAGAACCTTAGAAATCAGTCTGGGGGGTGCGAGGGGGCCCAAGGAAAACAAAGCACCTGGGGAAGGAGGGCAGCAGCCTCCAGCAGCCTGGGCAGCACCTTGGAAGCAGCCCAGAATTTCACATGACAAGGTCCTGCCCTACCCCAGTGACTTCACAGGTGGGCCCAGCCTTCTCCCCAAGGGGGCACCCAGGAGAGTCCTCTCTGCCCAGTGCCAAATGAGCTACCGGGGAATAAGGCCTTGGCAGGAATTTCACACCCAGCAAACCCTTTGTCCAGGAGAAGAAATGGCAGTTAGAAGTGCACCCCGGTCCCATACAAGCCCCAGTGTGAGTACTGACTGCACACTCAGCTCTTTCCTGAGACACTCACCTGGCCCATCAGGTGCACTGCTCTCAACTGGGCGTTCTCAGTTCTTGACGGAGGTGCCCACCGTTCTGTCGGGTGTGTTTCAGCCCTCAGCAGTCAGCTCCCAGGTCTTTGCTGAGATGCCCGCCTGGCCTACCACATGTATTCTCTCCATTAAACTAAGTAGCCTTGCTTTCCCTAGTCTGAATGGCTGGGCACTCTCGGATTCCATCTGGAGTGGTGCCCATCCATTCTGATGGCTTCCCTACCCCATTAAATCTTTTTTTTTTTTTTTTGACAGGCAGAGTGGGCAGTGAGAGAGAGAGAGACAGACAGAGAGAAAGGTCTTCCTTTGCCGTTGGTTCACCCTCCAATGGCCGCCACGTCCGGCGCACTGTGGCCAGTGCACCGTGCTGATCCAATGGCAGGAGCCAGGTGCTTCTCCTGGTCTCCCATGGGGTGCAGGGCCCAAGCACTTGGGCCATCCTCCACTGCACTCCTGGGCCACAGCAGAGAGCTGGCCTGGAAGAGGGGCAACCGGGACAGAATCTGGTGCCCCGACTGGGACTAGAACCCAGTGTGCCGGCGCCGCAAGGCAGAGGATTAGCCTAGTGAGCCGCGGTGCCGGCCTACCCCATTAAATCTTGCTACCTTGCTTACCACTAGTCTGTCTCGTGCCTCAATTCTTTCTTGTGTGAAGACATGACCCTCTACTCCACTCACGTCTGGTAATACTGTGACCAGCATTGTGGCATAGCGGGTTAAGCTGCCGCTTACAACACTGGCAACCCATATCAGAGCACCAGCTCTAGTGCCTGCTGTTTACCTTCTGATCACCCTTCCGGCTAATGCACCTGGGAAAGCAGGGGATGACAGCACAGACACCTGGGCCCCTGCCACTTGTGGGAGACCCAGAGAGAGCTCCTGGCTCCTATCTTTGGCCCGGCTTAGCCTGGGCAATGGCAGCCATTTAGGGGTGTGAATCAGTGAATGTAGGTTCTCTCTCCCTCTCTCTTTCTCTGTACTTTGCCTTCCAAATAAATAATAAATAAACCTTTAGAAATAATGTATTGTTGCTATGTGGCTGTGTGTGAGTTTGAGAGGCTAAATGTTGAGCAAATGAAGCCAAACACAAAGGAAGAAATGCTATGATTCCATCTACAGAACGCTGAAAACAGGACCAACTGACACGTGTGGTGGAAATCAGAATTGTGGTTCACGTGGAGGGAAAATGGCGGGAAGGGGACTCCACAAAGGCCTTTGGCGTGGGTGCTCTAGGTGTTCTGTTTCTTGACCTGGTGATGTTTACGTGAGTGTGTTCGCCTTGGAAAATTCATTAAGCTGTATACTTTATACTTGGGCATGTTACTGTGTGTTATATTTTAATGAAAACAAAATAACCACAGAACAAAAAAAAGGGTAAATGCAATGAAGGCAAGTAAAAGTGTATTGTTTGATTTATTGTGGGGGTGATAAGACTATAGATAGTGTTTGAAATATAACTTTTTGTATTAAATATTTATTTATTTATTTATTTGAGAGGTAGAGCTACAGACAGTGAGAAGGAGAGACAGAGAGAAAGGTCTTCCAGCCACTGGTTCACTCCCCAAATGACCGCAATGGCTGGAGCTGAGCCGATCTGAAGCAAGATCCAGGAGCTTCCTCTGGATCTCCCATGTGGTGCAGGGGCCCAAGGACTTGTGCTACCTTCCGCTGCTTTCCCAGGCCATAGCAGAGAGCTGGATCAGAAGTTGAGCAACTGGGACCAGAACCAGTGCCCAAATGGGATGCTGCCACCACAGGTGGAGGATTAACCCGCTGTGCCACAGCATCAGCCCTGAAATAAAACTTTAAGTATACATTTTTAAAAGTGAAAAATTTTAACAAGTTTAGTATAACAAAATGTAAGAAAAAATGGATAGAAACAACTAAAAAACATAAAAAATAGGGAAAAATTATAAGGATAATTTTAATAATGCCAATTGTTACAATAGATGTGAATGGGTTCAACTCATTAATTAAAATAAGACTGTGGTTGGACAAAAATACAAACTCCAGTGATATGCCATTTGTGTGAGACACATTTAAAAAAATCAGAAAAAATTAAATATAGCTAATAAAAATGCTAATAATAAAAACAGAAGAACAGTAACATCAAATTCTGATGAAATGGGATTAAAAATCAAAGCATTTAATAGCACAAAGAGGGATCTGTCAAACTGAAAAAAAGTAATAACCTTTAGGTAACAAATCAGAGACTTTTTTTGTTGTACCCAAGTCATAGATCAAGGTACATAGAGAAGAAACCTGATAGGATTACAAGAATAAATCAGATCCTTAAGCAATTTTAACAAAACTCTCACAGAAATAATTAGAAATATTTGAGTAAATATCTAATTAACTTGATAAATCACTCTTTCATACACACACACACACACACACACACACACCTGTCTGTTTAACTAACAAAGGTTATATATTCCTTTGATCACCAAGGGCACAGTCTAGGCCATAAAGGAAACCTTAATAAACTCCAAAAATTGCTATTACTTAAACCACAATCTCGATTGAAAGTCAATAAATTAAAGATTAACACAAACATTTGATAGCTATCAAGTAAAAAAAAAAAGAAAATATACACTTTTCCACCATTCTATATGAATGATAATAGTAGTACCATATCACATATCACAAAATCTGTGTTTTGCTGCCAAAGCAGTACTCTAATGAAAAAGTACAGCTTATGTGCCTTTGTTAGAAAAAAAAATACTGGGCCCGGTACTGTGGCATAGAAGGTTGAGCCTGGGAAAGCAGTAGAAGATGACTCAAATGCTTGGGTGCCTGCACCAACACGAGAGAGCTGGATGAAGCTACTGGCTCCTGGCTTTGGCCTGGCCCAGACCTAGCTCTTGTGGACATTTGGGGAATGAACCAGCAGATGGAAGATCTCTCATTCTCTCTCTCTCTCTCTGTATGTATGAGTGTGTGTGTGTGTAACACTGCCTTTCAAATACATTAAAAAATTATAATTAAAAATTATTTGATTCCAAAAAGTAGGGTGATGAGACTAACACTAAAGTAGACATTAATAAAAAAAGCAATGGATCAGCAAAAAGTAGATGT